TCGCTGCCCTTGCCGAAAATTTTCAACCAGGACAGTACGCCTCGCTGGACATTGTCCAAGGTCGACCGGCTCCCCGCAGCAGCAACTCGCCCGACATCTTGGTCGAGCAGTGGAAATTGTACTTGATAATGGCGTGCACTACCATCAATACAGCGGGCGCACAATCACAAAGTCAGCTTGCCAATGCTCAGCATGCTCGTAAAACATCGAGGGCAGGTCAACATCCCCAGGATAAAATCGGTTCTGCTAGAGCACTTTTTGCAACTGTTATTCCTCTGCTATCTGCTGGCCCTGACTCGATTCGCAATGCTATTGTTGTCGCCCTTGGTTCGATAAACAAAAATCTGTATCGTACATTGTTGGAATCATTGCAGTATGCAGTGACTACCTGCAATGAAGAAGCTCGAGTACGAATTGGAACGCACAATAGGACTCCCAGCAGCCCCCGGAGAAACAGGAGAACAGATAGACTACGAACTGAAGTCACCAATGTCTACAAGGTCACATCGCACTTTCTGAAGGAGCCGGAGGTGTACAACGACGACTGGATCCTCAACAACCTCGTAACGTACACGAAAGATTTGAGGATATTCCTCAGTGACGTTGAGGTGCAAAATGACCTTGAGTTCCAGAGGCTTAGATTCCATTACTGTGGATTACTAAAGGAGCTATTCGAAGGCATCAATAAATCCAAAGATCCCTCCCGCTGGATGCCCTTTGAGTCGAGGAAGTCCGCATTTTCGCTCATGGAGGATTGGTGTGGTTATTCGCCGAATCAGTCCCAGATCGCTGCACGGGAAGAAAACATGAGAAAACTTGCGCTTGCGCGACAAAGAGAACCATGGGAGGTTCGAAGTACTGCAGCGTTGGAGATTGAGAAGAGGAATTTGAGGACGGCTGCTCTGAGTGCTATGGCTTCTCTATGCGGCGGGCCCATCAAAATAACTACAGAGAGCAGAGCTACTCTCCAATTCGATGTGCGACGTATGCTTTCCTGGATTGATATCATCCTTAATACTGTGAGCGACAAACTCCATGCCATTGGGCGACGGGCTCTGAAGAACTTGATCGTCCACAATAAGGATCTGCCACACCTTTTAGAACAGTCAATCGAAATGTGCTACATCTCCGAAAGTCCCAAAGCATTAGAGAGCTACTTCGATGTCGTTGCACAAGTTTTGATCGAGCACACTGATTATCCGTTTGCATTTTGGAGAATTCTCGGGGCTGTTCTTTTCGCACTGGGCAACGCGAAACGAGAGATCCGGATGAAATCTGCACGTTTATTACGTACACTTGAAGAGCGCCAACAGAAGAACTCTAGGATTCAGGACTTTGACATCAGCATATCCGATAAGACAACTGCTGTCTACAAGCTTGCTCAGTTTGAAACTTCAAAGCGGTTGGCGCAACAACACACTGACCTAGCATTCACGATCTTTTCGGAATTTTCACTGCACTTCAAGAAAATCCAACCAGACACCCAACGAAACATGGTAGCAGCAATTCTTCCGTGGATCCAGGCAATAGAACTTCAAGTGGATCCAAATGGCGGACCAACGGCCAAGTCGTATATGCTCCTTGCCAACCTCTTCGAGATCACAATTCAATCTGGCAACGTTCTTCCCAACGAAGTCCAAGCGCTCTGGCAAGCGCTTGCTACGGGCCCTCATGCTGGCAATGTGCAACTGGTTCTTGATTTTATCATCAACCTCTGTCTCGAGCGGAAGGAACAAAATTTCGTAGATTACGCGAAGCAAATTATTGTCTTCTTGTCCACGACGTTGGCTGGTTCTAAAGTCATTGAGTTTTTCTTGATGCAGGTCGTGCCTAAGAATATGGTTCACGAACGGAGAGACCCGATTCCGCTGCCGCCTGACTTGAAAAGCTTGCCATATGTCGCCGACCTTGGGACTGTTTTGCCCGTTGGTAACAAGCAAGTAAGTTGTCATTGAAATTTGTCTTTCTTTTACGTTGAATTCTAACAGTTCATGTAGGCTGGATTTTCACTAGGCCAAGTCTCTCTCATTTTCCTCGTCGATTTGATGGTTTCTCCTGTTACACTTGGGCTCGACAGTGTGATCAAATTACTCCATACTGCCCTCATATTCTGGGACCATTACACACTCACCGTACAAGAGCAAGCCCGTGAGATGCTTGTCCATTTAATCCACGAGCTTGTTGCTTCAAAAATTGGTGACTCACCGGATGGCATGAGGACATCTATCGAAGATTTCGTCGAATGTATCCGTCGGGGTGACGCCGCTGTTGTTTGGGACTATGAGGACAATAATGGCGGCGATGATGACCAGGATACCAGCAGGGTTCCTGCGTCTATGCATCGTGTGACCCAAGATGTGGCGAATTTTTTCTCTGCTGCGTACGAAGGTGTGAACGATCTATGGGCGAAAGAGGCGTTAAACTGGTCTACTTCTTGCCCTGTCCGGCACCTTGCATGTCGGTCCTTTCAGGTGTTCAGATGCATTTCGACGTCCCTTGACTCGAGAATGCTAGCGGATATGCTCGCACGGTTGTCTAATACGATTGCCGACGAGGAAACCGATTACCAAACCTTCTCGATGGAAATTTTGACCACGTTGAAAGTTATCATCAGCTCCCTTGCGCCACAGGATTTGCTGCGCTACCCCCAACTCTTCTGGACAACGTGTGCATGCCTTAACACGATTCATGAGCGCGAGTTCATGGAAAGTGTTGGCATGCTGGAAAAATATCTGGACAAGGTGGACATGCGTGACCCGGCTGTTTTAACGAAACTCAGAGAGAGCAAACCGGCCAAGTGGGAAGGCGACTTTGAGGGCATCCAGGTTCTGATATACAAGGGATTAAAATCTGGTGAATTGCTAGACAAGACTTTGTCCGTTCTGCACCGGCTCACTGCACTTCCCAACGATGAACTGGTGGGTGATAACAATCGGTTACTCTTTGCAATCCTGGCGAACCTCCCGGGCCTACTCCACCGGTTTGATCTCCCAGAACGGCCCAAGGAGGTTGTCGAGCGCGCGAGGCTACTTGCTTCGATTTCTGAGAACAACGGGTATACTCGACTTTCTGATTGCTTATTTGGCTTCTCAAGCGGCCACTATAAGCGGAGTCAAGATTTGTTAGTAGATACTGTTGAAGCTATTCGATCTTACTACTTCCCCGCGCAAGAGGTCCAAACTCTTATTTTCCTTATGGGGTTGCTGACGAACACGACACCATGGTTCCGCATCAAGACTATGAAGATTCTGTGTGCTTTAATTTCTGAAATCGACATGCGTCGCCCTGAAATTGCGTGCTATGGGCCGGATCTCATTTCTCCCCTACTTCGACTGCTTCACACTGACCTATGTCCCCAGGCCCTAGAAGTGATGGACCACATAATGACCGTCTCTGGAAACCCGATGGAGCGACATCATCTAAGAATGAGTATGGCTTCGTCATGCTCATCTCGAGCGATCCGTAAGGAGTTTGAGCGTATCCAAAGTCTGTATGGAATACCGGAACGAACTGGCTGGTCTATCCCTGTTCCCGCTGCCCAGTCAGCCCTGACGAGGAATAATGTGCATGCTGTTTTCTACACTTGTGCAGACGCCGATGGATCCGAACAAACTCCTGCGTCCCCTGAAATGGAGTTCCACGTGGATGAATATAACAATTTGTATTTCCCGGGGCTACGAGCGGACACGATGAAATCATTCGATACCCAGAACGACGGAAGTATGGGCGACTTATTGCAGAAACTAGACAGTCTTGATGATTTCTTCGACGAAACTGAAGCGATTCCAGCCCCCTTGAATTCAATTTCAGGTACCACACTGCACAGTTTCGCAAGCGACTTCCACGACGCCAGTGCCAATCTTTACGATCAGCAAACCGCCCCTCTCTTACGAAAGTCACTAGCTCGAACAGCCTCATCCTCATCTTTCCACAACGGCCTCGCTGAATCCCGACCAACAACCAGTCGCACAGATGTAACCGGGATGCACGCTTCGACGTTCAGCGTAAACTCCGGAATCCCATCCTCCAGAACCTCTATGCACACACGATCCGTAACTTCGCCCGCAAACACCTATCCCTCCAGCAGCCAGTTATCGATACCCATGTTCGGAAGCTCAACTACACTCCCATTCCTATCCGATGACGAGCTCGAGGAAGCGCTCTCCGACTCTGACCAGCCATCCTCTAACTCAGCCACGTCTCCGCGCCATGGCAGCGAAGGTCCGTTCTCGCTTGAGTCCGTGATCCGCAGCAGCGTGCGTCGCTTGACTGGCGGCACGTCCTCCACCAGAGAGAAAGAACGCCAGCGGGACCTCCTAAGAGCTCAGCAGCGTGCGTTTGTCCATACGGCTAGCTCACCACGAGTTCCCAAAGTCCCGGCGGAGTATCTTACGGGTCCAGCGGGAGGCCTTCCAGGTGGCTCTACAAGTGGCCCCACCACGAGCGCTGTCCCACCGAGCGGTCCTGCTTCCCCGGGACATTGAAGTGGCACACCTTGCAATACTCTAATTATATAATCTCCCGTCCCTTGACTACGTATCTTTCTGCTCGTATTACTGCCATTTTACCGCTTAAGATACCCTGATCTCTAAATATACTGTTTAACTCTACCCCCTCCCCCCCCCCCCCCCTTTACATTTTTAATCAATCTCTCTATATCTCGCGTACACATTTATATACTGCTTTTGTTTTCCAATTTTCTTCCTCAGTATCATGATAAAATCTCCTTAATGTTTGACGTTTTATCTCCCATCACCATCACCAGCCTAGAACAAGTTATATGTTCTTTCTGGAGCCTTTTGTGTGACATTTGCCTTATTTTCTCATTATGGATCCGAAAGTCAGGATAATGATTGCATAAGTTATGGGTTGATGGTGTCTGTGGGTCGGTGTCAGGAGCTTGGGGGATATATGAATGATGAAAGATTTGATTTTTCCCGAGGCATATATATAGATAGGAATGGACGTATTTAATAGAAAGACTGTTTGGCTGCTTTGCGTTCGGTATTTGACGATTTATTCCCAGTGGTTATCACATTTCTTTCTCCTGCGATATTGTTTATGTTTCCTTTCTGGCGTTCGTGGTAGATTTGGTTATCAATGATATTCACGATATAGAATGGTGTATATTAATCTTCAAATCTAACCAATCCACCCGTCTAATAAATCCATTACGTCTATCGACTGCAGAAAATAAGTTGACATGCTATGCGCTAAAAAGTATTGGTTAAATGATGGTTACCGTCTTTAACACAGCATCTTGAAACATCTCCCCAACAGGATCTATAGGGGGGGGCTTCTGCAGAAGAATCACCGTTCCAATCCTCTCAAAACGCCCAGACGATTCAGACCGCTTCTTCAAGACAAGCGATATCAGATGGTCTGTCGATCCTTCCTGTATAACGCTCATGCGCAGACAAAATACCTCTGTCCCCGGCTTCGTCTGCCCTGGTCCATCATGATCGAGCAGGTAGTCCGGTTTAATTGCCAGTCGCAGTCGATTCTTCGTCTTCGTGTTGTTATTATTATTATTATTATTATTACTACTACTATTACCACCCATCGGCAAGGATACATAATGCACAACATCCTCCACCCCATCCCGCACCTCAACCTCCCGCTCAAGCAACCCAGCAACCACCAGCCCAGAAATCGTAAGAACCCCACTCGAAACAGCCCCGAACTCATCAACACCAGTCCAAGTCACCTCGCACCTCTCCACGGTGCTGAAATGCTTGAACGGCTGCCTTTCCTTCAACGACCCCTGCCGATCTGCCAGGTTGGTAAATAACGCCCCATCGTAATACAGCACGTAGGACTCCGTGCTCGCCCATGACCACGTCGGTGCGTTGCGCGGGTACGGTCTCCCCTTCTGGTGGCGCGAGCGCATGTGCACGCTCCAGATTAGATCGTCATTGATGGACTCCTCCCAAACGCCCGCCAGGTACCGCGACTGTCGGCGCGCAGCAAGGTCCTTGGCAATACCGCTGATAGCTGGCAGGCGATCCTTCGCCTTCGTCAGCAGCAGCGCCGTGTAGCAGCCCACCATCGTCCGCCACAGGCTCGCGCCCTGGTAGCGGACCGCGTGTCGAAACTTCTCATCAGCTGCCCAGCTGCTGGTGTAATCGCCCAGTGCTTCTGCGTGCTCGATTTTGAATAGCGCGATGGGCACTTCGGGCGAGGAGCCGTGGAATTCTATGTCGTTGCATTCGCAGAAGATGCTGGAGCGGCATTCGAAGAAGAGCTCGTAGCGGCCGAAGTGGAGGATGCGGGTAGAGAGCATACGCTCTTGGTAGACCCATGCGCGGGTGAGCAGGGGGTAGTGGGTTGCAGTTGGGTTGCCGGTGAATATGTCGCTGGTGGTGATTTCCATGTCGATGTGGTGGTCGATGTGCTCGCGGAAGAAGAGGCGATAGGCCTCCCGTTTGCCACTTTTACCTGAAGGCGGTGTCTTGCCGGAAACTTCGAAGTCTGGAGTGTCTCTGAAAAGTCCGCCGGCGCCATTGGCTGACATCGTTGCGGCGATGGTTAGATGGCCATTTGTGTATATTGCAGCCATGTTGGCGGATTCCACGTCCCAGTCTCTCGCGTCGTCTTGGATGATGCAGAGGGAGTCTATCCAGATGTATTTGATGCCAAGAGCTCTGGTGAGGGCAATGGCGTCGCGGAAGGTCTTGGATAGGCATGCCCACGGTATGCGCCGTTTGTGCTCTGCGAGAGTCGATTTGGTAGTCGTGATGATCTGGGCGAGTCCCCAGCAGTGGCTGAGGCAGATGTACTTGGCCCTGATCGTACCCTTTGGTTCGATGAGCTTGACGCTGTTTTCGTCGAGGCCCACGTCCACAACCCTTGTGGGCAAAGGTGGGTTATCGAGTGAGTCGCAGAAGCATTCAGGTACGTAATGAGTGACGATGCATGATGCAAGCCAGCCCTTGAGGGTAGCCATAGCCGTATCGGAATCGGTGCCTGGCGAAGTTCTCCTCGAAACTGGGATGTAATCCCACGAGTCCGGGATTGGGCAATCATCATTCTCTGTGCAAAATATCTGGATTTCAAAACGACGACCGCATTTCATTAAGAAGATCAAGTTCTTGCCCGACTCCTGTTTCTCAGCGTCGTCGATAGTGGTGGGGTAGTAGAAACGAAGGATTCCGTGTAGGATATCCGATTCTTTAATACCGTGCTGGCCGAAACAGCCACGGCATCCAGATATGAGAATGCTGCAGCAGTAGCATGACTTTGCCGAATTGAGCATTTCATCCCAAGTGAATTTAGGGACGATGTGGTGCCTATTCATACCCCTGAGGCGGGTATCAGAAATGTCCCATTTCCCTTGGAACTTATTGCAGAGGGTGCACGTCATCTTTGTGGAGTATTTTTCAGTGTCCTGATGACTGACAACATCATAGACCCTGAGATTCTGAAGCAAGCTGCGAGTTCTGTATCCTCTTAGGGATGTTCGACGCTGGAGCGTAAGCTCCATGGCGAAGTTACATTGTTTTCTGCCCAATGACGAAGCACGAGGTTAGCGGCTTGGTAGAGTAGTTAACTAGTTACTCGTAACGTTGTCCGAAGCTCGTTCATAGCTACATACATATAGTTTGTTGATACTCAATAGAGCCAGGGGCCAGAGTTTGCATGTGGGTCGAATTGTCCATTGCAGCATCAGTTATGTAGTTACCGAATATAGTTAGTGATATGTAAATTTGATTGTTGCACTTTTCAGAAGCCATTCTGCTGATGGGGGAGATAATCTGTTGACCCCGGAATCCCGCCAATTAGCATTGATAAAGAAAGCCATAATCCAGTGAGAGCATGCCCCAGTTGCTGTGCCTACCCCCCCGCCAATCGCCCGCCCTCGGTTGAAGCCGGAGTTTTGACGCTGGGCTGCGAGTGGCTGCCGAGTCCGGGGCGTGGTTGGGCGCCTGCGAATAAGGGCGACAGCCAGAGCTCTGGGGGCCAAATTAGCGCCTTTAGTGTCGGTTAGTGCCCATTAGCCCCTATTAGGTGTGGCTGGAATGGGGACTCCCCCCTAGCCTGAGGCGCCCGGGAGGCTGGAGCTGGGGCAAGGCTAAGCACGGCGTGCCTGCCTCTGGATAAGGGATTGGATTAGAGGTCGAGACTCGGCTCAACCTGCTCGGCTCCAGAGTTAGTTAAACTTCCCCATGCTTCCTCCATTCTCCGTCTCACTCACTGTGATAAATACTTGCTTGACGCTTTTCTTCCTCCTTTCCTCCGCAATTATTAAACACAGTACCCATTCTTTTTGTTTGGTGCTTTTTTTTTTCCCTTTCTCATTCTCTCATCCCCGCTGCCATCCTTAACTCTTTATACCCAGCTGTCCAAGATGAGTACTTCTCTGTTCAACGCCCCGCTGAGGAGGCTGCTCGCCCCTCCCTTCACTACTCCGCACGCTTCAAGGAGAGCTTTCTCCACGACTCTATCACGGGATGCGACTTGGGGGTTTATTGGTTTGGGGCAGATGGGTGCGTATTGTCTCATTCCCTTGGTTTCTTGTTCTTTTTCTTTTTTATATACCTCCGCTGCATATGTCCATGCCGGTCTTCAGTCCTTGGTGTTGCCGGTTTTTCGGTGGTGTGTTCGGGCGACTGTCTCTCCATCTCCGCATGTCCGCTGTCAACAGGGAACATACTTCAACTACCCGGCCTTGATACTCAAACCCCTTGTCTTGAGGGAACTTATTAGTTAGCTAATCAGATTGTGCGTATTTCTTTTCCACCCCTAGGATACTCAATGGCTAGGAATTTGCGTTCCAAAATCCCCAAATCTGATACACTGATCATATGCGACGTCAACGCGAAAACCACCGAGCAATTCGTCCAAGAACAACCCAGCGACCTGAAAGTCAAGGTTGCGACTAGCCCTCAACAGGTGGCTTTAGAATCGGTAAGGATTGTGTATACTTATTTTTGCAAAATACATATGTCATCTCTTTGTATTCATTTGGCGACCCTAAGCCCTCCACACTGCCTCTATGTCTACCTTCCCGCATTTTAGGTATATGAATTTGGGAAAACAACCGCCTGCGCATTCACTCGATCGGCTCTGCTACTCTGCCAATATCTAGACTTTTCATGGAAATTAATAAAAATCCAATTTTCTTTACCCTGTAGGAAACAATTATCACCAGTCTTCCTGAACCCCGCCACGTCAAGGACGTTTTCCACATCATCCTAAAAGGCGGCCTCCCAAAACTCCAATCAGACAAAGACCGCCTCTTCATCGACTGCTCGACGATCGACCCCGCCTCCTCCCGCGAAGTCGCAAACGCAGTCCACTGCACGGGCGCCGGCAAATTCGTAGATGCTCCCATGTCCGGCGGCGTCGTGGGCGCCAAGGCCGGTACTCTCACCTTCATGCTCGGTGCCTCCTCCAAAGTGCCCGGACTTGCCCAGCGGGCCGAAGAGGCTCTCCTGCTTATGGGCAAGAAGGTATGGCACCTGGGTGAGCAGGGGGCCGGGCTCTCCGGAAAACTAGCCAACAATTACCTCCTCGCCATCCAGAACATCGCGACGGCGGAAGCGATGAATCTCGGGATTCGGTGGGGGCTGGATGCGAAGACGCTGGGCCAGATGATCAATTCGTCCACGGGGAGGTCATGGTCGAGTGAGGTGAATAACCCCGTGCCCGGTGTGGTCGAGACAGCGCCCGCTTCGAGGGATTATGCGGGTGGGTTTGGGGTGTCGTTGATGAAGAAGGATCTTCGGCTTGCGGTGGAGGCGGCGAAGGAGGCGGGGACACCCTTGAAGCTTGCGGAGAAGGCGCAGGAGGTTTATGCGGAGACTGAGAGCGGGTATCCGGGTAAGGACTTTTCTGTGGTGTATAAATATCTGAAGGATATGTCGCGATAGATGGACAATGGAGTGTTTTTTTTTTTTTTTTTAGGTTTAGGATGTTCTGTCTCTTATTTTTGTACCTATGGGAATGGATATACGCGGGATGGACGGCCTAAGTTTATGGGGTTTCCCTTTTTCCTAGAATGAGATACCAGATAAGAAACTCAATTGCATATAGATTAGTTTATCTTTTTTCACCCTTCGCCGCTACTATCCAATTTGTAATTTATAACTGCTTTTCGGCTTCCGCCATGTCAAATTGATAAGTTCCTCTAGTTAGGGGGAGGGGATCTTCGATATTTAAGCGTGCCAAGCCCTCCGTTCCTAGCCAGCATCATATTAATATTAAATAATACAATGAAATCAGTAGCCGCATCGTCTCAACTTCGGCTTCAACTCTAACTTCAACCCGCCAGTGCCTAGACAAACAGCCGGCATATCTGCACTGGCCACCATAGTCCTCCACATACTCTCTATATTATTGAATACCTGTGGCGACAGGTTGGTGTGATTACGGTATCGGAATCGCCCAACATATTCCCTGATACTAGAGTGGTTGCTCTGCTTATCACTGCTCTGCTCTCCAACACTCTTAGGCAGGTCAGCTTATAGCTCCCGGCTCTTCAATATGGCGTACGTGGTGCCTATCCATCATGCAAGCAGCATCCGCCATGCTTTAAAGCTCCAATTCTTGGAGCCGGAAAAAGACTGCTTGGTTGTTGCGTGAGTATTCCCCAACCCGGTAGCTAGCTCTCCCATTCATGCACAGGATCACTACCAAACACAGTATCTAACCACGCCCGCACTCACTCCAGCAAATCCAACCGCCTTGAATTCTACTCCCGAACTCCCGATGGCCTCTCCCTCGAACACTCAAAAGCCATATACGGCAAAGTGACTATGCTAGCAAAGCTATCACGACCCCCACTACCTACACAACCACAATCACAGCCAGAGCCGCAAACCCCGGACCAACGACCACAGCTACAACCGGCTCCCTTCCGTCCCCAAACAGACATCCTCTTCGTTGGCACAGACCGCTCCACCTACTTCACCGTCTCCTGGGACCAAAAGACAAAAAACCTCCACACAGAGCGCAAATACGTTGATCTTGCCGACGGTTCCGCCCGCGAGTCCCAACTCGGCGACCGCTGCCTTATCGATCCCTCTGGCCGATTTCTCACGCTAGAGTTATACGAAGGCATCGTCACGGTTATACCCATTGGCCAGCCGCTGCGATCACGAGGATCCGGGCGGAAGTTGGGGAAGCGGGCTGCTAATGCTAGCGCAAGCACGATGCAGGGGAATCAGGATGTAGGGGCGGCGGACTTGGAGCTAGGCGAACCTTGTCAGGCGCGCGTTGAGGAATTGTTGGTGCGCTCGTCGACGTTTTTGCATACGCAGGCGGATATGCTACCAAGGATGGCGCTTTTGTATGAGGATACGATGGGGAAGGTGCGGCTGAAGGTTAGGGAGCTGGAGGTTACATATGGCGGGATGGGAATTGGGAGTGGATCCGGCGGTGGGAGTGGAGTTGGAGCGGATGGGGGGAGTGCGGCGGTGTTGAAGGGGTTGGATATGTTGAAGGAGGAGTTGGAGATGGGGGCTAGCTTTTTGGTGCCGGTGCCGGCGCCATTAGGTAGGTTTTCTATGTCTCTCCTTATGATTTTGGCCAGATGGACCATCTGTTCGTTACATGTAGTTATATTACTTTTACTCATTGTATACGCACAGGAGGCCTCCTTGTCCTTGGCGAAACCTCAATCCGGTACCTCGACGATGCGAGCAACGAATGCATCTCACAGCCCCTCGAAGAAGCCACCATCTTCGTTGCCTGGGAGCAGGTCGATGGCCAGCGATGGCTGCTGGCAGACGACTATGGCCGTCTATTCTTCCTTATGTTAATCTTAGATTCGGACAACGCCGTTCAGAGCTGGAAGCTTGACCGGCTAGGCAATATCCCACGCGCCTCGGTACTAGTTTACATGGGTGGTGGAGTCACGTTTATTGGCTCGCATCAGGGTGATTCTCAGCTCATTCGCATCACTGAGGGATCGTTTGAGGTCATACAGACGTTCGCAAATATTGCACCAATACTTGATTTTACGATTATGGATCTAGGTGGGCGGGCCATGGGGGAGAGCCAGACGCACGAGTTTTCGTCGGGTCAGGCGCGGATTGTTACGGGGTCCGGCGCATTTAATGATGGCAGTCTAAGGAGCGTGAGAAGCGGCGTGGGAATGGAGGAAGTAGGTGTGTTAGGGTCCATGGAACATATTACGGACCTCTGGGCATTACGGGTTGCTTGTCCAGAGGAATTTTCGGATACGTTGTTGGTTTCCTTTGTAGATGAGACGCGGGTGTTCTATTTCACACCTGATGGGGGGGTGGAAGAGAAGGATGAGTTTATGGGGCTGGGACTTACAGAGAGTACGCTCATTGCTGCGAATCTACCAAACGGCAGGATTTTACAAGTCACAGAACGGAATGTGCGGGTTGCGGAGTTGGATGGTGGCATGGTGATGTGGGAGTGGTCTCCAGTGTCGCAGAAAGCCATCACGGCGGCTTCTTCAAATGACGACCATCTCGTCTTGATGGTTGGAGGTCAAGTTCTCATGATTTTCGATATTAGAGGTGAAATCAAAGTCGCAGGAGAGAAGGATTTTGGTGTCGACACACAGGTGTCTGGTGTCACTGTCACGGCATCCCCGGCCCGTTCTTGTATCCTTTGCCTACCACAAACGGCTGAAGTCATTGTCATGAGCCTGGCAGACCTGACCATTCGCCATAGCACGTCACTGGGCGAACCAGGCGACGCTGTTCCACGCTCTGTGCTGGTCGCAGAAGTGCTCCCAAATAATCCTGCAACTCTCTTTGTCTCCATGGCTGATGGAAGCGTCTTTTCATTCTCCTTCAACGCGACCGATTTCTCCCTAACAAGCATGAGTAAAATAACCTTAGGCTCTGAACAGCCCTCATTCAAGAAACTTCCCCGCGGAGATGGTTTATACAACGTTTTTGCTACGTGCGAGCAGCCCAGCTTAATCTACTCAGCAGAGGGCCGCATCGTTTACTCTGCCGTCAACTCTGATCAGGCCTCGCGCATCTGCCACTTCAACTCAGAAGCATATCCGGCATCCATCGCGCTAGCCACACCGTCAGAATTGAAAATCGCCCTCGTGGATGCGGAGCGGACCACGCAGATCCAGACGCTGGAGGTTGGAGAGACCGTACGGAGGGTTGCGTATTCGGCGCCTGAGAGAGCGTTCGGTATCGGTACGATTAAGCGGACGCTTGAGGATGGTGCGGAGGTCATTGCTAGTCGGTTCATGCTAGCTGATGAGATTATGTTCCGCGAATTGGATGTTTATGATCTGAATAAGGATGAGCTTGTGGAAAGTGTTATTCGCGCCCAGTTCCCAGATGATAAAGACAGTGAAGGCGAGGAGCTTATGAAGGACTTGTTTATCGTGGGTACGTCTTATCTTGACGATTTTGGTGAGGGCTCTATACGCGGGAGGATATTAGCGTTTGAAGTGACGCCGAACAGACAACTCGGGAAGGTAGCGGAGATGCCTGTTAAGGGCGCGTGTAGGGCACTGGCTATTGTGCAGGATAAGATTGTTGCTGCGCTTATGAAAACGGTTCGTCGAACTACTCATGCCGATTTTAGCTTCTTCATGATGGACTAACCCGCATATCTTGTAACAGGTCGTCGTCTACACGCTTTCCAAAGGTCAATTCGCTGACTACATCCTTACTAAAACCGCCAGTTATCGCACCTCAACTGCACCCATTGACATCGCCGTGACAGGCAACCTCATCGCTGTCGCGGATCTCATGAAAAGTGTATCCATTGTCGAATATCAACAAGGCACCGACGGTCTGTCTGGCAGCCTGACAGAAGTTGCCCGTCATTTCCAAACTCTTTGGAGCACTGCTGTCGCGCCAGTGGCCCAGGATACGTGGCTGGAGAGTGACGCTGAGGGAAATCTGGTCGTACTTCGCCGGAATGTCAACGGCGTGACGGAGGATGATAGACGGAGGTTGGAAGTTACGAGTGAGGTTTTACTGGGGGAGATGGTAAACCGGATACGGCCGGTGAATATTCAAGCGTCACTGGGGACGGAGGCGGCGATTTCCCCCAGAGCATTCTTGGGTACCGTACGTATTTTCTTATTTTCTTATTTTTATTTTTATTTTTATTTTATTTTATTTATTTATTTTTTCCTTCATCAAACGTCGACAACTAATATGATCTGTGTATATAGGTCGAAGGCTCCATCTACCTCTTCGGGATCATCAACCCGACCTACCAAGACCTGCTCATGCGGTTGCAATCCGCAATGGCTGGCATGGTGGTAACGCCCGGCGGGATGCCGTTTAACAAATTCCGCGCCTTCCGGAATACCGTACGCCAGGCAGAGGAACCGTATCGGTTCGTTGACGGGGAGCTGATTGAGCGGTTTTTGGGCTGTGGCGCGGAATTGCAGGAGGAGATTGTCGGAAAAGTCATCGCGGATGGGGTTGCTGGTGTTACTGTTGAGCGTGTTAAGGCGATTGTGGAGGAGTTGAAGAGGATGCATTAGGATGGATGTATTTGCGTTTGTTGCGGGTTGTGGACACGGTAATAGTAGGATTGGGTAAGGCTATGTATGCCTAAGTCTAGGCTCTATTTTATTCTACATGTATGTACGAAATGGGCAATTAATATTCATTTCGGAAATGAGAAAAAAGCAAAAGAATATCCATGGCTTTCATGTGAAGATAAAATTATATCGACTATTCAAATGTGAAATGATCTATCCCACTGTAAACCATCCAATACGAAATGGCCTCATTATACATGGAAAATATTGAATAATAATGACCAAATCGAACGAGATAAAGCATATAAAAACAATCCCCACCCCTATAAAATCCTCCCCCCAACAAAATAAATAAATAAATAAAAATAAAAATAAATAACTAAAAATAATAAATAAATAAATCAACGCCAAAATGAAATCAATCCTCCAACAAATCCGCAATATCCTTATCATCTTCATCTTCCCTCAACCTCTCCCCTGCCTCTTCAAGCTGCCTCAACACCCTCTTCTGTCTCCGCCTCGCACTCTTCCCCCACTGCGGCACAGCCTGCGTCTTCTCCGGCCCCTCCTCGTCATCCTCACTATCACTCCCGACACCCAACGCACCCCTCAGCGCATTTGCAGAAATTTTCGCCGTCGCGCCGGCCGAACCAGCATTCGCAGCCTCCGCCTCCGCCCGTTCGCGTTCTCTCTCCTCCGCGTCGGATTTATCCATGTTGGTGTTGAGGAGCTTGCGGAAACCGGTGTCCAGGTACGGGCGCAGGAAGAGGTAGCCGCCTATTATCCAGACGAGGCGGATGTAGTCGCGTAGGGTTAGGGAAGAGACGGAGCTGGAGACGTTGGTTGTGAGGTTTGTAGACCAGGCTTGGAGGGTGGCCACGAGGGAGGTTGGGTCTAGAGTGGCCATTTTGGTGGCTAGGAGCTTGGGGCCCCTAGGGCTATTTCAGAGACTAATGCTGGAGATTGTGGACGTCTTTCTTTGCGATTCTAGGGTTTTATGTAACTGGGGGGTTTGCTCCAACTTGGTGGTTTGCGGAGCACAGAGGAAGGGTCAATGATCTCCGAGTAGCTCGGTTTGCATAGAACAAGATGAAGTGCGCGACCCAAGAGATTATTGATTATACAGCGTTGACAGGATAGGTAGGTATGATTAGCCTTTCGAACGCTTTGAGAAAAGGTAGACAAATGGCTTGAGGAGATGTGTGAAAATCTCTCTACAAGCATCTTAGTGGGTTTGCGGCATTTCTTAGCCGCGGAGGTTTAAAAAAAGGATGAAGTTACGTCATTCGTGAGCTCCGAGAAACTCTAAGCGCGAAAAGTGTTTTTCCGCCATTTCGCGTCTAGCGCGTTTCGCGCCAATCACACCACGGCTCTGTGTCCACGCCATTCAAGCGTGAGCTCCCGGAGGTGCAACAGCGGCAATCTTACAGCTGAAACCACCTTAATCCACTTCGATGACAGAGCAAGAAAGTGATTCCGTGGCCCTTGAAGAGGTCAGTGTAGATCTCCATCATTGTTTTATCCATTCTTAAATAGAGAGAGGCGCTAATATTGTTTTGCTCTCCCGTAGCGCCTGAAGTCGGCTCTTTGGCTTGCAATTGGTAGAATCGTGGACGATGAAACGATCAAGCTGGGTGTTGATGCCACTCCACAGTTTATAGGGGCACTGACGGAGATGGTTTGGGCACAGATAGGTAAAATCCCTCCCACTGTCCTAGGTTATCCTTGCCGTGACGTGAAGGAGATTTCAGGGGAGCGTTATATCCATGCTGATGTCAAGTTCAGAGACCGTGGGACAAGACCTGGAGGCATTCGCCAAGTAAGGACTAATCTTTAACGTCACTCTCTATGGCTTAAGAATACCACTGCTTCTCTCTACACAAAAATCTGCTTACACTCTGAACTTTTCCATGATAGACATGCGGGACGGTCGACGATCAACTTATCCGATGTGATGCTTCTGGCACGCCGAAACGAAGGCTTGGAATCAATATTGAGAGCATTTGTTGAGCAAGAACAGGCAAAGGAACAACCAACGCGCGGGACGAGATGATTCATTCGTACTATCCTCTTAGAATTAAATTTCCCGACTTTTTGCATGATACTATCCCGCAGTACCAACATTCGTCGATCGTTTCGCCAGAGGGTATGTTGCAGAGCTACGACCTACTTGCGATATCCTTGGAATAACTGCCTTGAGGACTTCGGCTGGGAGATTGCCAAAAACTCGATCTGCCATCGGATAGGTGATGAAGGGGGAATGGTTGGTAATTAAAACGTCCTATAAACGTGAAATTCGCGGACGAGCTACCCGCTTATCGATGCGTTCGGGGCGGAGGGGGCACCTGCGGGGTGGGGTGAGTGTGGAGAGGGAGAAGTGGCCATCAAAATTTTTCCAAGCGATCATTTCGATGATGTGTGATGTGGAGCATTTACCCAGTCGACACCTCGGTCGGGTCGGTATAAACGACTATGTAAGGTTAAATTCTTCAGCCAAGCAATTTGAGAATCTTCATTGTTGAACACACGGTTGAACCTATTTGGTGTGTGTCCCTCCATCTCCCCTGGTTCTGGTTTACTATCATTTCCTTACCGCTCTTTTTTTTTTTTTTTTTCTCTTTCTCCGTTGTCTACCTACTCAACAGAAAAGCACCAAAGCACCATTCGGTCAGTGGGCTGTTGACGTAATTCCAATGGGGCAGGTTCCGCTGATTTACTAAGCCACAAACACTAACTATTTGAAAAACTTCCTCTGAAGCAAGGAAAATGAAAGAAAAAAGGAGAAGAATAAGAAGAGAAGAGAAAACACACGAAGGCCGTTGCGAACATCTGTCTTTAATCGACGCAGCCTTCTATCTCTGGCCTGCTATTATTTCTGCCAAACCCACGGAGTATTTGGCAGGAAGAAATCGCGCAGAATTATATGGAGCTTGGGCCACTGGTTCGCAGCATATCGGCTTAGTCATCATAACATCGCGCTTTCCTGACGTCATTGAGTGGCTTCGCTGTGGCGCGGTAGAAGGAGCTCAGTTGTTGCGCCGGAAAAGCGATGATGCCTCAATTCAATTCCATGATACTCCCTTTTGTTTGATGACTTAATGCTTATCCGTGTCTCATATACCGAGCTGAAGCAGTTTTCACTCACATCTTCCACAAGAACAATTGTTAGCTTTCATATTTTACCTTAATTTTTGGATACCTCCTCCCAATAGCTTAGCCATTTTACAGCTGGGATCGGCTTGCCAGCCCGCAACCATGAGTGCCGCGGGTATCTTTATTCGTTTCACCAACCTCCTTTTCCGCCTCCTCCAGCTCGCATGCTCAGTCATTATTCTGGGCATATTTTCTTATTTCCTTGCTGTCCTCACTGATCATAATATGCCCATTGCACGATGGATCAAGGCCGTTGAGGGAATTTCCGGGGCAGCAACCCTGTACACGCTGGCAGCCTCGATATTCACACTGTGTATTGGCGGGATAGCATTCTTCGCCGCACTGATGCTCATTCTCGACGTCTGTTTTATCGCTGGTTTTATTGCAATCGCGATTATGACTCGACATGGTGCAGATTCATGTTCCGGGATAGTTAATACTCCTTTGGGTACTGGAAATGCAAATCGACCCGCTCCCGGTTTCGGAGAAGGTGGATTTGGCACTGGACATGATAAAAACTTCACCTATCTGCCGAGCTTGAGATCTGCGTGTCGATTGCAGAAGGGAAGTCTCGCTGTTGCTGTCATTGGGTGGTAGGTTGTATATTTATATTCATCAACCGTATCTTCGTCTCCTTAACGTAGCAGAAATGCTCACGCTTCCGTAACCCCGCAGTATACTCTTCGCCCTCTCCTTATATCCCCAAGTTCTCTACGCCCGCCATCACAAACGCGGCAAACGCTTCGGCCCGTCACCCAGAAACAACTACACAGAAGGCCCCAGTCGCACCGGGCCACGATCTTTATGGGGCTTCGGCCCTCGCCGCGCAGCAGCTACCGATACCTCAGCTAACAGCTATCCACTGGAAGCAAACCGCGTGTCCGGCTATGCTCAAGATGAGAAACCACCCAATCGCTATGCAGGTATATTTACACGGGGTAGGAAGTCACGTAGCTCGACGGCTGGAGGTCCAGGTATGGAGGCGCAGCCTCCGACTGCTGGATATGGTGCACCTGCGACTGCGACTAGTGCGTATGCACATGGTGGCCCGCCTGCAGCCGGCGCGCCCGGGACGGTGGTTGATAACACTACTGGAGTAGGAGGGTATGAAAGTGGGGTTGGAGGTGGTACGAGTGCCGGGTACGCGAATTATGGATATGGCCAGAGCGGCGCCGCGGATGATGGGTATTCCTATGGGTACGGGGCCAGACCGCAGCATGAAACGGCGCAGATCCCAGTGGCTTCGGGCCAGAGAAATTTCTAATGGCCTCAAAATACCTCTCGTTTTTCGTTTTTCTGTTTAACTCTCTTTTGGCCCAGTTTGATGTGATCCAGGCTTGTTAGCTCTTATCAATATTAATACGTTAAGTTACCTTGCTGAATGGGCAGATATGGTAAGCGTGGGTTGCTGAAGGAGCGGTTGTGTCGCGTCTGCGCGCAATTATGGCAAACTAGGTAGATTTGTATTATCATACAGTTACCCGAAGCACCATAGCTGATGTATATATGTTAAGCTTAGCATTTTATTATATTTTTGTTTCCTTCCACTTCCAAATTTTCATTCTTAATTATTCTTGAGATCTGGTTTTGACTCTTGACGTGTTTGTTGTTGGACTTGTTGGTTGGTTGATAAGAAGAGTGTTCAGACGAAAGAAAAGTAAATAGAAGTCTAAGGCCGGAAAAGTAAAGTAAATATATCTGTATAGCTACTATCACGGAAAATGAGTGGCCTCTAAATAATGTACATACATACACTTATAAAAAACATCGCGCCTGGTAGCCGTGAGGCAAAATAGGAGCTACCCATGAAACAGATAGGATGAAACATTCCTCCCTCTAACTTAAAATGCGTTACATGAAGCAAAGGGAAACAAAAGGATATGTATTGCAGAATCTAGAAATACTACTAGGACACCGCGCGAGAGGGACAAAGAGAGATAACATAAACGAATGGGAAAAAAGAAAAAGAAAAAGAAAAAAATGGGAAAAAGAGAGGGGGCCGGGGGAGGAGGGAATAAGGAATTAATATAGCCGAAAGGAAAAGGAATCAGACAAGAGGACATCCAATGTAAGGCAGAGTGGCAAGAGTATGGGGTAATATCAACAACCACAACAAAGATCTCGAGACACAGCCTCGGGTTGCATATCGAATAACCTGCAACACCAAACCAAGAGGTGTTTCAAGTTTCCCGCGAGACTTTCACGGAGCCCGACGGTGGAAGATTTCGGCCACGTAAGTAAAAGTCCAAAATAAAAACAAAGACGCAGAAAGTGAAAGACTCCCGCCCCAAATTCCTCTTCCTTGACTTTGTGCCACTTTAGGCACGACCAATTTTGCCGTCTTTGCACACCGTTCCTGCGGCCACGGATCCCATGGGAATGTAGTGCGATCCAGAGCCGGGAACACATGGACCATGTAGTTTCCGAATCGCATTTTATACTTCCTGCACTACAGCTTCCGGAGTTTCCTGGAGCAGGAGCCGCCGCTGGTGGCTCTTCGGGGGTTTGTCCTCCGGAAATCTGGCGTCGGGTTCGGCAGTGGGGTAGGTTCGTCGTCAGGCGTTGCAGCGGACGGTGGAGGTGAAGATCCAGTCGGTGTAGGTTCTGTAGAAGCAATAGGGGGAGATTGAGGGTCTTCTCCTGGTGGTTGTGGTTTCGGTCCAGGGGCATCGGAATGAGGACAATTAACAATGCCCCTATTGGGCGGGCCTTTCCCCCCGGGTCCGTATTCAACAACCGATCCTGGTTCTGGAAACACAATATCAAACCCCTCTTTGGTTCCGCACTTCGTCTGAGAATCAACGTTGGCCTTAAAAATCTCAGGGAGGCTATCGAAGCCGTCCCCTGAACCACCAGAGACGGTCACCCAGGCACAATTCATGTACATTTCACGATTCCCAATCCTGTTAAACCAAGTCCAGGCAAATACTGCCTTACCAGAAGGCGCATTGGATGGAATCTCAAATTTGTATTTAAAGGGTAGGGGACATCCGCCGATAATGGACTTTATCACCCTAAACGACTTCCCCTCGTCGTAGGAGAGTGAGAGCTGGCATGAACCCCCAAGATGGGTAGCAGTATTTTGCTCTATCAACATTTCATATTCGCTTCCCGCTTTGTAATCTGCAGCTGACCGGAAAGGCTCATCTAAGTATCCTTTGCACGGATAATTTGATCCATTTGCCCACAGAGGGTTCTTATAATTGACATCCCTTAATGCGCCAGTATTAGCCGGGTCTAAGGGACTTCTAATTGGGAGCGGGTTTAGCATTTGCATGTGGCTGTGAACGCGGCTCCCGAGAAGGGCCAATATAAGAATAATAACGCGATATATCATGATCGTATAGGCGGTTCGAGATAGTTCCGGAAAGCGGGAATGTTGACAAGCGTTTTTCAAGTACAAAATGGACTAAATGACCGAATTCTTTGACTGTAGTCTGATAGGAGAATGAACAATTTAAACTGAATTTTGGCTCGTAAATAGAGTTCGTATAAGTAACAAGGCATAATTTTGAGGAAGTATCGCTAGGAAGCACCTAAGATTGCAGGCATTGACAATATATATGGTCCCTCTTGAGCCTAGAAGTGGGGCCATGATTCTTTCGCCATGAACGATGAAACTGTACAATAGTAGTTCACAGTAATGATAATTGTATCAGTGGAATGTTCCATCCTAACTGCGTCGGTTGGGATAGCCGACGTGGAGAACCAATGAACACCATTAAGTCGTGTTCAGTGGCGTGGATTCTCTATGTATTTTGTAACGCGGAAACAATTAGCACAATAGCATGAACAAACCCTTTGTATAGAGAGGACAATGTTTGATTTCCTGTCAATGGCTTTGTTTCTAGCTGTTGCCTCTGCTTCGTTCGTCCGAAGGTAGCAATCAATGGAGAAACTGTTTCAGACTTTGCCTCCCATATTAATTGGCATAGATGTGAAAACCATTTGAATAAATGCATGGTTGAATAGGATTTTTAATTCCGTTCATAGTGTGGCCATTCATAACGTAAAGGTTCCAAGTTGTATTTAGCCAACTCCCGTGCGGCGTATTAACGGTCTACCAAGATAGTTGATTGCCATAGTTGCGGGAATGGAGGAATTCCTGCCCTGGAAAGCAAAATCTCTTAAGGGCGAGAAAGAGGGACATCTGATAAAACACGAGTCTACCCTTGTAGAGGTAGGCGGGCAGTTGTCTGTACCCAGTCCATTCCCATTTTGCAAACGGTGTAACTTGGATCTGGACTGAAACAAAGCCTCACCCTCCTGCAAAGTTCAGTTCAGCGCTCTTCCTCTCGAAACTTGGGCTTGTCGGCGAAATGTAATCTTGGATATTACTTGCCTCACACGAGTGCCATGATACCCTCAGGGCGATGTGTGTTTCGACGAGTATTTCTCGGGTTCAAAGGGTCAAGGCTTTATTGTAGCCTTAGCCGCGATTCTAGGCGCTCAATGGAAGTTGGGTCTGTTGCTAAATTTCTTATGAGACCAGACAATATCTTTTTGTGTCAAAGGTCGATGGAATTGTAGAATCCCGGTGCTAATTCCATTGCGGATTGGGACCGCGTTGCGGAACGCCCAAATACTCCATTGATGCTGGGAGTTGGAAGGTCATGGTCTCCAATGATTTTCATTGTACTGTACACACCCAGTCCAGGAGCAGGAAGAGATTCCCTGCCATCTGAAAAATGCGCAAATGGCGCCCTGTTGAAAATAGAACGTTTATATGCTCATGCAAACAACAAAGTGGTGACGGAGAGAATTGACGAGCCTTCGAAATAAGCTCTTGTTTCAATGAGTTGGCCTCAGAACAATTGCTCGAAGCTATTGACTCACTGCGAAATATCCAATAATTCAGCGACTCTAAGCATGTCCAGCAAGAATCAGAGAGCCTTTTCGCACGGGTGAATGACAATTCGACGTTCAAAGCAGAGAATGCCAGGCGACGATGAAGGAATTATGCCCAATTTCCTGATTCGGACTAACCGCTGAGGAAGCCTCGGCTAAGCCTTCCCGGAAATACCTTGGGTGTTGCGAAGTAATCAAACAACAGCTCCAGTAGCTCAGCGGTTAGAGCGTGCGATTGCAGTTACGCACTTTATCGCAATGTCCCTTGTTCGAATCAGGGTTGGAGCTTGACGTTTAATTTCCTCTTTTTTTTAATTAACTTTTTTAATTAAGCCTTCTTCTGCTTATTTTCGCAACCTGTATTTATTCCCGAGGAAGCTTGTTTGTTATTTTTGTTTATTGTTCTACGATTAATGCTAAGAAATGATATCGACATTCGTCTCAAAGTTTTTGAGATTGTTAAATATCAACCCGGGCTTCAACTCGTACGAGAAGACTTGCTTTTTTATGCTAAGAGAATTTGGGTTGTCAAATCAAGGTTCTCCCTACCTTTTGTCTTAATTTCCGATAATCTATATATTTTGGTGGTTTGCTAACCTTTCCTTCCCATCTTGATAATTATTATATCATGGTTATAGCCGTGGCTATTCGACAATTCCCGACAATTCCTAGCATCTTATCACCTAACGCAATCCACTCCGGGTAAGCTACCTATACATATGGCCACTGGCTATATTTAAACCTCCTCCACCTATCAGATGCTTTTATTGATGCCCTTCAGCGGCAGCTGTCACTGTTTTGGTCATCCCAGTATGCAGGAGCAACAGAATATATTCTTACTATTTGTAATTAAATTCAAGGACATGAAAATGACAGCCAATAATCTACGTGGACCATTCCGTCATAGAGTAAGAGGGGGAAATTTCTGTAGCTTGCTTGAGGGTTTATTTAAGGAACTTCAGTTCTGATGACTATGATTGACCAACTACGCTGTAGGGGGTGGTTTGGACAAGGCCGCCAGGAGTCATTTGCTTATTATTGGTAGGTAGAATGGAAATGCAGGCGGAGCATGCTAATGTGAAAGCCTAAAGTTGAATCTGCTTAACAGTCAGTCCATCCTACCATTAGAGAGAGCTAATAAGAAACGGCAGAAAGACAACCTGGCGGCAAAAAACATCACTTACACGGTATACGCTAATGATAGAATAAACAGGGAATGAAAGCCAAAATTGAACTGTCAAACTAGAAAATAATCGAGAGTAACTTGCCGTTGGGTATTGGGAAAACAGGCGAAGGATCGAAACCAAACAGAAGGTAAATACAAGCGCTGGCTTTGGTGAAGTACATGTACTCGGTATAAACATCAAACATCTCCATTAGGAGCAGTGCCATCTAACCATCTCGAAAGAGAAGCTGTAGCAGATTAGATTGTTAAACTAGACCTAATCCCAACACATGCTGACGCTGACTGGTTCTGGCATCCAAACACAGAAGAAATTGAAGGTCAGGAAAATGGTCTTCTAAAATGTGAAAGCAAGAAAATCATACGTCTGTGATCTAGGTTCCATTTGTCTGTGTTCCGTTTTTCTCAGGCCCGTTTTTCTCAGTTCCATTTTTGGGTGCTCCCGTTTTCTGCTTCCTGTGTTTCTCTGACGCGCATGTTGATATATTTGCTCTTACATATGTTTCCCTGACTTGGTCTCCTTCGTGGCCTGAAATAACCCACTCCCCAACGCCCATATCCTTTGGGGCTATCCTGACTCCGCGGCCACCGCCACCAATGATCAGATTACCCGGACGGTAGTTTTCATTCGCCTTCAGCCGTTGTATGGCGGTGTTATGAATTTTCGCATCTACCGGAATGTCACGCACCTCTCCACAGGGCAGAGGCCAACGGATTGGGGCCCAGGAGCCGTCCTGTTGTAGGTCCATCCTTTTGAAGGGGAGATACTCCATCATGTTCCACGCTAATACCGACATGGCTGATAGGCCAGATTTAAAATCCAAAGAGTCGTGGATGTGGCCTTGAGTTCCAGAGTAATTTAAAGCATCATAAAAGCTCCTCGAGGATGGGGAGTTTGCTGGATTATCCTGAGGAGCATCTTGGATACCTAAGTCATCCACGCCGTTAATTACAATATCCGGTGGATTCGGTCGTTTGTCTTGATCAGGGCTCCACGATTTATGAATGGGCGAATAGTCGCCTGAGAATTCTATGGCGCATTCGAATTTTTTCAGTTTGCGCTCGTCGAATTGTAGTCCGGCGCGCTGCGCTTCGTGAACCATCCAGACAAGGGGTGCATGGCTGAGTGGCCACTTCTCGCTTGGCATCAGTCCCCAACCACCACCGATATCAGCATGGCAGCCAGGGAACCAAACTTCCTCAATATCCTGGACAGTCTGATCTGATTGAACGGATCTGTCGTCAGTAATGTGTTGAGTCTGTAGTGGGAGATTAACAATACTATCAGCGCAACTTGCACCATCAGTAGAGAAATTATGGTTATCGGGAGCCGATGTTCTAAGATTTTGCATCGAACGGCGAGGATACAGTGGGCGGTAACGGTTCTCTTCCCGAGGTTGGGTCCAGCCTGTTGCAGACAGATGTTTCGAGGGTTTGGCGTCGGTATTGCCCATAACTTTCGTTTCACTTTTTCCGGCGCCCGACTTAGAATTTACCTCAATCGTTTCCTTTAGCAAATTCTTCCTTTCGTGGAAGAATCTACGTGGAATAAACGAAAATCGACGCCTATAATGCGAGTGGTGGCAATGTTGACTTTGTGAGATTAGATCTTGACGGAATTTGGCACGCCTTTCATCAATGCCAACTGCATGCCTGATAATCTTGGCTGAGCTTCTCGCGGTATAAGGGAACCTGTTCCGCGACATCCATGGAGACTCAAACTTGGGAATGCTGTTCACAGTGTCAAACAACCCAAGGAACCGAATTCGCTGGATCGGACGGCTGAAGGTTTCTCGAAAAGCTGTCATGAAGTTGTAAAGATCGTGCCTTTTTTTGATATCTGCCTCACTTGTTCCTGTCCGCTGTTGCCATTTTGAAAACGTTTTCCAAGCAAATAAGACGAGCTCTTCATTTCCTATAGTCAGAAGGCCAACATAGTCTAGCATCTCAGCAAGAAAGCGCGCGATATATGCCCCACGGCTAAATCCGAAAAAGAATATTTCATCGCCAGGAGAATAGTATCGCATAAGAAATCGATAGCCAGCGAGCACGTGGTGATCAAACGATGAGCCAATAGCCGCATCTTTCGCTTTTATCCAGCTTCGCTTGATGCGCGAAAACGTGCCAGCATGACTCGGGACCTTCGTAGACGTCACATATGTCCCAATTCCGGGTTGATAATAGTGGAATTGTTGTCCCTGATTTCTATCTAGCATCTGTGGTCTATTGTCAGCGCCGAAAATACCAGATTTAAGTCATATATGGATGGTTTAATATTGGTCACTGACTCGAAAGATTTTGAGAACATTACTGTCTGATTCGTCACCAGTAAATTTATTACCGGTGCCATCAAAGCAAAGCACAAATGTTTTCGGAAGATCCGAGGCGTAATGTGACATAGGGACGATTTTTAAATAACGACTGTAATCAATATTGCGAACGCTTGCAGTTTGAAAAGAGCAAAAAGGACAAGCGGATGGGGGTTTCACTAGGTATCAAGCGCGTTTTCCAAGGGTAGTGAGACCGTGCAGAATTTCAGGGGTTTTGTGATGAATTAGTTTGGAATAGTTGCAATTTACCGCTATGGGCGAAATTGGTTTCGGACTCTTCGATAATGTACGGAGTACTCCGTATATACGCTGTATAATCAGTCGGGATGATAGAATGTAGCTTTTGTTCGCGGTCAGAGGGCGCGAAGTGTGAGTGGAGCGTGGGAACAAGCACAACAATAATCAATTGAACATCAGTCGATCGTCACCATTTGAATGTCATCGAGGGATGCAAAAACTGGAAGCACATACAGGGTCGCACAGGCCTGAGCTCGCCAGGCCAAGTTTACCCTTCCCTGGCCGCAGCTTAGCGTGAGATCCAGGAATGACAACATTGGTCAGCCTGACAGGCGTGTTAGACCGAAAATGGGCTCCGGCATAAAAATACACCTTCCCAGAATAAGGTTTGAGCTTCCAGTGTATAGAATTCCCAATTGGTTAAGCTTCTGGGGTCATTTGAATGTTTCTGGCAATAGATCAGCCACATTGTGTTCAACGCCCAGTTCGTCGTGTGGGAATTGCGCGAGTCAATGACATTGGCTAGCTGAAAAAGCAATCCCGGCTCGCAATCATGAGCTGAAATGCCACAGAAAAATGCCCTTTGCGAAGCGCACAGCACCCTGATTTACAGCGTATGTTTGGCGATTGGCGATTACCCCCTACAAAGGCAGAGGGAAATGGTAATAGCTGTATTAGCAACAAGCATGGTGGGACAAAGGCCCAAACCGGAATTCATGAAAATGGATTTGATGACTAGGCATTTCCTGCCGCAATCCGTATTGAGACACGAGTCGAGAGCAGGGCCTTGCGCTGTTGAGTTCGTCTGAGGGAGCATCATCAGTGTAGTTACTGTGTAAGTTACTGCGTAGTTATCCGTAATTTTTTGGGGCGGGTTCTTCAGTCAGATCGCATCCACGTTACCCACCGCCCCCGCTGCTGATCAACAGTAACCCAGGAGCTAACACCGATAGTGCATGGCGAATCATCGCAATCGAGTTCGCAACAAGAATAATATTTAATATTAATGAAAATGACAGATGTGCGTGTACGCTGTACGGAGTGTGTGTGTGTGTGTGTATGTGTCTGTGAAGGACAAAACCTTGGGAAGGAGAACTTGGAAGGCTGCTGGAGCCCAAGTCAGGTGATTGATAATCCAACATCGCGACGTGAGCTGAACAGCACCAATCATCCGCATTCCAGGATAGGAATGTAGAATCCCCGCGTTTGGGATCCAAATGCACGTCTGGTTTCCTCTCTCTCCAATCCACGGCCAGATATCACAGGATTCAAAATATGCCCAATAGTGGCGCGTGCATAGTATGCCGCTCTTGCAGCAATCTCCACAGGGAGTGCAAGCTCATCTCGCATTATTTGCTTGGACACTCCGCTGGTTGGACGATAGTTGTTTGTCAACCTCTCAGGCTCTCACGGCTGCTCTCTTCATTCGTCAGGCATCAGGATCCTGCCATTGATCAACCAAACTTCGAAGTTTCACCGAGCTAGACTCCGTATTGATCGCAATGATCCAACCGGAGTTTCTTCTGTTTCATTTGTCCAACCGAGCTCATTTTTGGGCAAACGTCTACCTCCGAAACTTAAAATGCCGATAGATGGGTGGCCGTTACCCGGGAACGAAGATAAAATTGCCTTTGTTACCCCCGTCCATCACTGGTCTAGCGCTTGATACAGCCCACGCCATGATGTGGCACACTCTGAGCAAGCTGGAGCTCTGCAGAGTCTGCATAGATCGGGCGCCTCTTAGCCTTGATGGGCACATCAACACCGGATGGCGAGCTCTGCAAGACCCGGGCGGATTTTCGGAGGCCCTTTATTTAGGATAAACCGTTGCACCAGAACGTGAATTTTTCAACCGATTATTGTTTGTGTTTAAATTTCACGCACTTCATGGTTCCCACAATTCACTGAATTGGTTATTTTTCTTCTATATATTTCTTGTCTATCGGAGATTGCTTTCACGCTCGGCACAAATGGCGAAACCAGGTGTTGCTGGGACTTTAACGAATGGCGAGAAAAATGGACAGGTGAATGGCAAACCAGCGGGTGCGCCCCCTCCCCTCGCAAAACGTAGCAAAGGGCGCCGCGTCGAACGAGAGGAAATCGAGAACACGTTTGCAAAATATGCTGAATTCAGTGGCGACCACTTCCACATGAAGAAAGCCGTAGCCAGCACCAAATTGCAAGAGGTGAAGTGGATGGGCTGGAAGGGCGTACGCACTCTGCTAGCAGTGGTCAAGAGCAAAGCTTCTGGGAAACCCATCGATGACAAGGAATATCTTATGGAACGGATCATTCAAGTATGACCAAGTCAACAAACACATTGAAAGTCAAAGACTGAACCTTTTTCTCCTCAGCTCGTGGCCAATCTTCCTGCGGAATCATCAGCCCGAACGCAGCTCACCCAGACCTTTGTTAAATCACTCTGGGTCTCTCTTCCTCATCCACCCCTCACGTAAGGATCCTCGATACCACAGACATAGTGCCTCTCATTAATGAATTTCCGTTTCAGATACCTCGGCGATGAGTATCGCTACAGAGCTGCAGATGGATCTAATAACAACCCAATGTTTCCTCGTCTAGGAGCTGCCAATACACCTTATGCTCGCTCCATCAGGCCTATAACAATCCAGCCTGCTGCACTGCCCGATCCGGGGTTGATCTTCGATAGTCTTTTCGCTCGCCAGGAATTTAAACCTCATCCTAACGGGGTTTCTAGCATATTTTTCAGCTGGGCATCGTTGATAATCCACGGTAAGGTGATATGGGACTATGTTGGTGGGAACGTGCTAAATGGTTTAAAGACCTTTTCCAGACCGATCCTCGGAATCAACACATCTCAAAAACTTCTTCATATCTCGATCTTTCCACGCTTTACGGAGATAATCAAGATGAGCAGGATCAAATCCGCACTTTCGAGGGTGGGAAGCTCAAGGTCGATTCATTTTCAGACGCTAGGCTAATCGCGCTTCCACCTGCTTGCAGTGTCATTTTGGTTATGCTGAACCGGTAAGCAAATTGGATGCCCTGCTTATGTCAAACCCTTTCAATTTATGCTTTGGGCTTGATATTTTTACTTTAGTTCAAAAGCTTAACTTTTCTCCAGGTTCCACAATTACGTTGTCGAACAGCTAGCGTTGATTAACGAAAATGGACGGTTTACAAAACCCCCTGATTACTTGTCACCTGAACAATCCGCAAAAGCATGGGCCAAATATGACAATGACTTGTTCCAGACAGGGAGACTGTAAGTTGGTATTTATTATAGTACGTAGTGTGCTTCATCCTAACATGAGATACAGTATAACTTGTGGTCTTTACATGAATATCACCTTATACGATTATGTGCGGACCATAATCAACCTTACACGAAGCAACACAACCTGGAGCTTGGTACGTCGAATGCTATCGCAGGGCTAGGTATGCGTGCTAACATTGATTTCTTAGGACCCGAGAATTGACACGAAGAAAACTGCGGCCCCAGAATCTGCCGAAAGCGGCGTTGGCAATCAGGTGTCCTTTGAGTTTAACCTTGCCTATCGGTGGCATTCATGCATTGGCCAACTTGATGAGAAATGGATCGACGAAATTTACCAGGATTTCTTTGGCAAAAGCGCGGAACAAATTTCGACGCCAGAGCTGATGGCCGGAATGAGCAAATGGCAACAGCTCCTTCCCGGAGATCCTTCTAAGAGAACATTTGCCAAGCTTGAGCGGCAAGCAGACGGGCGATTTAGGGACGAAGATTTAGCTAGAATTATGACTGAGGCGACTGAGGAAGTTGCAGGTGAGCATGCCCACAAGTGCTTCAAGTCATAATTGGCTAATGAGTATGCAGGAACTTTTGGTCCGCGTAACGTTCCCAAGGCCCTTCGAGCGGTCGAAATATTGGGAATTCAGCAGGCGCGAAAATTTGGCTGTGGCTCTTTGAATGAGTTCCGGAAGTTCTTTGGCTTGAAGGAGTACGAAACATTTGAGGAAATCAACTCCGACCCCGAAATAGCCGGCCAACTTCGGAATTTGTACGAGCATCCCGATTATGTCGAGCTTTACCCAGGCATTGTTTCAGAGGAGCCAAAGATTCCTATGGTCCCTGGCGCCGGAATCTGTCCAACTTATACTATCTCCAGAGCAGTTCTTTCAGACGCGGTCGCGCTTGTGCGTGGAGACAGATTCTACACCGTATGTTCCCCTATGCCCCCTTTTATTTCTGATTAAAGTCTTACCCCGTATTACCCCTGGCAACCGCGACTGACCGTTCATAGAGCGACTACAACGCTAAAAATTTAACGAACTGGGGCTATGCTGAGACTCACTATGATCTTAGCATCAACGAGGGATGTATGTTCTACAAGTTGATGTTGCGTGGCCTTCCGAATTATCTCAAACCCGATTCGATCTATGCACACTATCCCATGACAGTTCCCAGCGTAAACAAAGAAATTTTTACCAAGCTAGGCAGAGAAAGTCATTATTCTTGGGATCGTCCCGCGTTGCAGCCCCCTCGAATTGATCTCACGTCCTACAATGGCGCAAGAGCAATTCTGCAAAATGCGAAAGATTTCAGGGTCACTTGGGAGGGGGCCTTTGACTCACTTCCCGGAAGTAAGAGCTTTAATGAGACGCAAACCAAAGCCATGGATGAAGTCTTTGCTCAAGACTCATGGCGCGAGACTGTGAAGACATTCTACAAGGATATTACCCAAGAGCTGCTGAAGCAAAATTCAGTCAAAATCGCTGGAATTAACCAGATTGATATCACTCGGGAGTAAGTCCGCCCGCGCCTCTCAGAGTACTTGTTGGACTAACGATTTCTAGTCTGGGTAATCTCGCGCACGTCCACTTCGCCACGAGCACTTTCGACCTTTCAATCAAAACTAAGGATAATCCCGAGGGTATATTCACGGACCATGAAATGTTCATGGTAATGGTGGCGCTTTTCACCAGCGTATTCTCTGATATAGACCCTACAAAAACTTACCCTCTGCGCCAGGTGGCTCGGGAAGTCGGTGAAAAGCTTGGCCAGATCGTGGAATCATACGTCAAATCTGTTAAGAGGCCTAAACCGTTCTCTGGTATTGCTGATAAGTTCCAAAAATGTGGCAATACGCTGGCTAAATACGGTGCCGATGCAACCCGTAAACTTCTGAAGAGTGGCCTCGGCGTTTCGCAGGTGGCTTTGTCGCATATCCTTCCCATTATCTGTACATCGGTTCCAAGTCAAGCTCAAGCTGTGAGTGTTACCGTTCTCCTTCTCGTAAAAATATGATTCCTGTGAAAAGTAGAAAGCTAACTTCTAAAAAAGTTCACTCAAATCCTGGGCTATTACTTATCAAATGAGGGCAAAGTACACCTCCCTGATATCAACCGCCTAGCAAAGGAAGACTCCTTAGAATCCGACACAAAACTTCTACATTTCTGTATGGAAGGGCTTCGGCTTAGTGGGACATTCGGATCATTCCGCGAAGCAAATGCAAACGTCTTGATCAATGACGGTGGTCGTGAGGTTTCCATCAATGATGGAGATAAAGTTTTCGTGAGCATGGTAAGAACCCCACTTAACTCACATCCTGAAGCACTAAAATTCCATGTAACCCGCGCTTACCTCTATTTTATAGATTTCTTCTGCTAGGGACCCCAACATATTCCCAACACCCGATAAAGTCGTTCTCGACCGGCCTCTAGAATCCTACATCCACTACACCGATGGCGCATTTACTTGTTTCGGAAGAGATGCACAGATGGTGGCACTAGCGTCCATGCTGCGTGTTGTTGGGCGTCTGGATAACCTACGTCCCGCACCAGGTGCTCAAGGTCAGCTGGTGAAAGTTAGCCGTCCTGGCGGGCATTTCGCCTATATGCGACAGGACTATGGTGGCTATTCCGTGCTTCCAACAAGTAAGTTATGGTCCTGTTTCATCTCCTCTACCTTTCATCTGCCTTCTTTATTCCAGCGATTAATATACTGTTTACGGAATGTGTGGCTAATCAATATTATCTTATTTTCTTTCCCTCCTTTTTTTAATTTTTGCAGCTTTGAAAGTTCATTATGACAGTGAACTTAAATAACTGTGCAAGGTATTTTTCATAGGTTAGATATTTTAGAGGTAGCACCTTTCACTTCGTTGCTTCTCATCTGATCTCTTGGGGAAACAAAAAAAAAAAAAGCACACTTTGCCGCTCTTCCATGGTGTTGTTTCCGGTTTTCCACATACGTGTTTATATCTTTTGAAAGGCCTGGAACAACACTCTCCTGACTTCTACCATTCATTTACATTCTGTCTAATATTTCATCTCTGTGAGTAGCTAATATTTTTGTGACATTAACCTAAATTAAATCAATATCTAGTGACGGGCTGCAGCTGCCCATGAGCCTCTCGAAATACTCTCAAATGACATATGATGAAAGGTACCTACTGTACAGAGTGGAAGTAAAGCGTAAAAGGAGCGTGGTTTAGGGCGACACTGATGATTCCACAAGTTATTCAACCCCATTAGCCCTTCATATACTCACTCCGCACATCTCCTCCATACACACACCAGGAGGCCCAACTACACATCTTTTATATCTCAATGATGGTGATTTTCTATATTTCTCAGGTCCTTCATTACCTTTCAATTAACTCGTCTCTAACCCAGAGTGAGGGATCAGAATGTACATGTACATACATGTACATGTACTGTACCTCTGCCAAGCTAGCATGGTATGGATGCCCCTTGCTCTTGTCTAATTACGTGACAGGGAGGACAGTTATTTTAGATTTCGAGCATGCTAGAGAGGGTGTCTTTGTCCAATTTGGCTGGCTAGCTGATTTGGGGGGATTCATGATAGCCAACTACCCTGAGGTGAGTGCAATGCATGAACCAGGACTTGCGAGGAATCTGATAAATACAAGTAACCACATGTAATGTACTAACGTTTCACTATTGGTCACCCCCTCACCCTCTCTGGGATGCCATGGAATGTGTTTTTCTTGAAAACCACCGGCGCGCTTTCTGATGATGCGGGGTTATAATCACGATATGGGACGCTCTCTGCCTGGCCTGCTTTATAGTGAAAGTTGAGGTCACTTCTCTACTCTGTTAAGTAGCCAGGTGCACCGCTATACCAGTAACTACAGTACATATCTTGAACCCCAATTCCTTGATGAGCTTGGTTATCACTACCAACATAAAAAAACATGGCTGGCGTTTCCAAAGAATTTGAGCTATCGTCGAAACCACCGGTGGAACAAGCCGAAATCGATAAGTTCAATCCTTCCCAGCTTGTTTCCCTAATATTCTACACCGAGCGTCTACCTCTGTATGAAAAAGAGAAACCTTTTTTTCTCAACTTTCCTCCATCTGAACCCGGACAGCGACAATCAAACGTTATTTACTGCCGTCGTGAAGTTTGCATCACCGATGTTCGTGGCCACGAAGATCTCTTCACTCTTGACACCACCGGGTTTCAGTACAAAGATTTTGAGACAACAGTTGACTACCAGAGTTTCGCTTCCCCTGCGGCAATTGAGGGAACTTTCCTCAAGGAGGTAGAAAATTTTTTGACCACAGAGTTGAATGCAGACTATGTCCTAGCTTGGGATTATCAAGTACTTGCTGCCTTAGCTTCAGCATCCCAAACTTCCCCTGTTTTGACCAGCTTTTGACTGAATGTCACAGGTTCGGCGAAGAGATCCAACCTTACCTCCCAATCATAGGGGCCAACCAGGGAAAGCACAGCCATTCAGATCGGTTCATTGTGGTAAGGTTTCCATATCCTATACCAATATTGGTCGCTAATCAACAAAACATCTACAGATGAGAGTGCTAGGGCCGCAATGCGAAGACTGGGCCATTTTCATCCTGACTTGGCAGAAAGGTATCGCGGGTGTCGGATCCAAATACTGAAGTAGGTCATTTAGTGTCCTCCACCTCCAAGTGTTTCATCTATTGGCTCCTTGTCCGACTCACTAATTATACTCAGCTTTTGGAAGCCGCTAGTTGGTCCAGTCGAGGATGCACCGCTCGCCCTGTGTGACTATCGTACTGTGGCACCAGAGGATCGAGTGCCGACAGATATTGTCTTCCCTGATTACCTAGGAGAGACTTACAATTTCTGGGCTAATCCCAAACACCGATGGTATTACATGGAGGGACAGCTCGCAACCGAAGCCTTAATATTCAAGTGTTTTGATTCCGAGGCTATCATAAATGATAAAGTTGCGCAATGTTAGTATTAAGCGGACTCCTAAGATGATATGAGCTAACGGCTGCAAAGATGCTCCGCATGTATCGTTTCTATATCCGAATCGTGATCCGGAAAACCCGTTCTTTAGAGAAAGTATTGAAGTCAGGACATACGTCTTCTACAAAAATGAATGAGGCCAATGACTGAAAAAGGGTTGAGTTGAGGAATTCAGGGATTTTTCGTATATTGTATTTCAAGGAGTGTCTCCCTCTTCATTGAATTACGGACAACGATTCTTCCAATCGTAGTGTACGTGCAAGTGCAAGGTACCAACTATCCTGTTCAGTTTCTGGGGGTGTGCGTATATGTAGGTAATAACAAACATAAAAGACAAAACGCAATATCAATTGAACGAGCTTGAAGCCTCTGATCATTCCCTCGTATAATAAACCGTTCCTAAGCCCCTTCAGCACCAGTCGAGCGGGGACCCTATAATTATATTATTAGACGCTCAAAGGATGTTTCGCCAAACAAGATTGTTTCGGCAATGTGAAGTAATAGAAAGAAAAGATCTTACACAGCCTCTTCCGCCGCAATATACACATTCCGGGGGGCACCACCCGTCTGATGGTTCTGGATCCAAGTCTGGGCGGACCCAGTCATACCAGGGCTTATTGTTCATCTTCATGGGATCATGTTTCCATGTAAGCCATGGCTTAGCAGATAACTCCCGTTCACTGACAGCGGTGATATCTGGTGGCCAGTATGCTCTCCAGGGTTGGTGGGAAGGGCCCAGTTCAGGCTTGCCGTCAATATCCCACGGGTCGGTCTTTACGGTGAGCTGGACCAGAGCTGGCAAAGACGTGCCCGTTCTTGGATTTGGATTTGTAGACATAGCAATACGTAGGAGCAAGCAAGCGATCTCTTTGGGTTTGTTGCTGGTGGGGGGGATATTTTCGAATGGTTGCGGAGCAGCGTTGGTGTCAGTCTGTAATCGTACTGGCAAGCAATAACTATTCTACCAGAGCAAAGAAATGAAACAACAGATGGTAGGTAACTACTCAGTATTTAAAAGTGGGCGCATTTTTAGCCTTGTGTTTTCCCCGCCCATAGAGACTCCCCACTTCGACTGGAATCAGCAGGCAATCCAACGAACGGTCCAGGCAGGCTTCCGGCAACTAACTACGCAGTAACCGTGCCATGCTTACTCACTCTCTGTAGTGAGTGCGCCACAGCGTACGGAAAACCACACTGTAAAGAAAATATTTTCAATATCTTCATTCTTCATCTTCAAATAATCATCATTAATTATAACCATGCCTAAATCTTCTAATTACACTGAGGAGCAGTTGCAAAGAGCTGTTGACGCGTACAAAAGCAATTCAAAATTAAAAATCATGTCTCTGTCGCGAGAATTCAAAGTCCCATATGCCACCTTGTATGGGAGGATCAACGGGAAGAAATCAAGGACTATGAGGGTTCCACTGAATCGAGCATTGAATGACAGCCAGGAAGAGGCAATTAAGATATGAATTCATCAGTTGGATATTATTAATGAGGCCGCCTGCTACAGATATGAGCAGTATAATGACAGACAATTCCTTGCTAATCTGAAGAGTGTCTGACTGTAAGCATTCAAACCTGACACTGTGAGAGCTGGCTTTGCTGACTGTGAAATGTATCCAGTTAATCACGATATAATTCTCAATTGATTGAGACCTCTTACCATTGATGATGCCCCGGATCTCAACATATATGATGGTGATGATGATGTATGCAATCACTTTACCCCGCCACTGCCTCCTTGCAATTAACCTCCTCAGAGATGGTTGCAAAACTATGTCATCAAATCAATGCAGCAGCCAAGACCTTAGAAGATGTGAAGAATACCCTTACACCTGGTTTGACAAGGTGGTTGAACAAGATCTTCAAGGGTAGCATGATTCAGGTGGAATTGAATGCACACCGTGAGGATGAACTTGCAGATCATTATCAAGCAAATAGATGTTGAATTGTCAAATCCTCCCGCAGGCAGGTGCAAGTAGGTGGAGTCCTCACTATTAAGGATGTCAATTGCAAGATCGCGACCTGTAGAGCAGATGAGATGAAAAAGATGTTCAATAAGACTCTTCAATTGATTGGAATCAAACCTACAAAATCTACAGCCACTCAACCACAACAAGATAATTCTATAGAATCTCAACCTACAGTGGATTCTACACCTTCTAATGAGTATATAGATAATCTTTATGTTATAGATAGATGTGGTGGTGATTATTAATTAATTTTTGAAGATCACTATATTCAAAATATTTTCTTTACGGTGTGGTTTTCCGTACGCTGTGGCGCACTCACTACAGAGAGTGAGTAAGCATGGCACGGTTAAGTGCCAACTGAGTTAATTTTACGACACAGTGTAGTGTGCCCTGGTAGTTAGTGCCTCGGCCCCGAGCCCAGTGGAGTCTGCGCTAGTATATATATATGTATATATATATATTATTGGTTTTTGCGCAGTACATAGCCTAATCTAGTAACAGTGCTCCCGTCTCTATACTATACCAATATCCTACCAAAGTATCAAAACACGTTAAAATAAGCATTCTCAACAGTCGGCGCGGGCGGGTCTTTGTGGGTCTTTCCCGGTCTTTCGCGGCCCCATCCGTGCCAAGGTTCCAAGGTTCGTGAGCATCATCATGTGACCACCACCGCTTACTACAAACTTACCTGGCTACATTCCCTAAACTAGCTACTACCTGATCCTAGGTAAAAGCCAACCAAGTATATATATATATATATACATATATATATACATATCTGCGTTGGAGGTGAGCTAGTTTAGTCGTTTGGGAGCTTTGAATATGGCACCGTTAGAAAGCGCTCGCTCAGCTGGTCTTTTGCTCATTCTTACACTCTCCCTCTTCTGCCTAGGCGTCGCCGTTCTGGGAAAACCGGACCAGATGAACCTCGTCGTTCAGCAGCCTCCATCTGTTTTCACTCTTGATGAAGCCACTTATTTCGTGTCCCCATCATCCAAGGTAGATAATCCATCGCTTTCATTTACCGTGCGAGGGAAGGGACACTGGGTAACTTTATGACTCTGTTAGGATACGCGCAGGTTTTCCGAGAGCGTGCCTGTTTCAGGCCCCTGTACCGTCATTCGCGCCACCGATGTTCCGATCACCCCAGAGTATCTCATTGAGATCCGAAGGAAGCTTTCCAAAGATGATGTATGGACATACAGCTTTCTACGCTACATCATCTTTCTGCCCCAGCCCCCTTACCGGACGTTCCAGATCAGCCCTGCGGCGCAGCAGACACTTGATACTTGGGGCAGCCAAGTTTTATCCGCAGACAACCCGGAATCTCTAGACTTGCACTTTGCTCCTTATTTCTGTAATGCTGGTCAGCTGCACAAAGTGCACAGGTTATATCCTGATACAGCGGGAGCATTCATGAGCGCAACAATTCAGTCACCAAGTGATCCATATCTGTAAGTGGAAATGTTATTCGAATATCTCTAACTCTGTTGACTTGTTTCAACAGGTACAATTCACTCAACATATCTGTATTCACGGAAGAACATCCACTAGCGTTGACTATCGGTGTTCCTTCACGCTTTTACTATGCACCCACCGAGGAAAAACCATTGGCAGGACTGCGAATCGCAGTGAAAGACACACAAGATGTACGGGGGATCAAAACCACAGGATCATCGCGTGCATATGCTCGACTCTATGGGCCTCGAGATAAAAGTGCCACTGGAGTTCAACGCTTGCTAGATCATGGGGCCATCGTGATTGGCAAATTGAAGTCGACCCAGTTTGGAGAGAGTGAATGGGCCACTGGCGACTGGGTGGACTACCATGCGCCGTGGAATCCTCGAGCAGATGGATATCAAACTCCAAGTGCAAGTAGCTCAGGCAGCGGTGCAGCGGTGGCTGCCTATGACTGGCTAGATTTGTCTACTGGCACTGATTGTAAGTAGTGTTCCACTTATCAGGCATACTAATTGGATTAATTTCTCACTGAATACACCACGGTAGGCAGCGGCAGTGTTCGGGCTCCAGCCGCTGTTCATGGACTATTTGCGATCAGGCCATCCACAGATGCAATCGACAACAAAGGCGTCATCCCATTCTCCAAAAATTTCGATACATTTGGGATATTTACGAGAAATATCGAAACTCTTACAGCTGCCTCTTCGGTGCTTTATAACCAACATGCAGAGATCCACTCCTGTTTCAAGGTAAGATAATTGAAGTATGCACTTGCACATTCCTGCTCACACTTCAACAGAAGCCCACACGAATTATATACCCCAACGAATACTGGCCAGTTGAAGATATGGCGAGTTCCGCTGTGTTTGAAAGCGTTATCGGAAAGCTCGAGAATGCTATTGGCACGAAGCGAACCAATATTAGTCTAAGCGGACTCTGGGCGGAAACAAATCCGGTTGGAACGGACGTTTCTATCGATGATTACTTCAAAACGACCTTTGTCTCTGCATCCGCTCCAGATCAATGGAGAATGCTCAAGAACTTCCACTCGGAATATAGCAGCGTGTTTGGCCATTCTCCTCCAGTAAATCCCCAATTACAATGGAAAATGTGGTTTGCCTCTTTTCTTTATCAACTAATTGGCTGCGACGATATTCTAACACTGCGAAAGGGAGTTTTTGCCAAAGCAGACACTGGAGTCGCAGAAACGGGGGCAAAAGGAGATTGAAATCTTCCGGAGATGGTTTGAACAGAATGTGATGTTAGCCGACGAAAATGGCTGCTCTGAAAGCATCTTGGTCCTGCCATGGACAAAAGGGGAACCCAGTTTTAGAGACGAATATCGAGAGTAAGCATTCCACTTCTCTCTCTCTCTCTCTTAACCTTCGCTGATTGGCCTGCAGACGCCCATCTTGGACTGGCGAAGGCTGGTTTTTCTATTTCATTTCTGTTTACGCAGGAGCCCCTGAGGTCATATTACCCAGTACGTCACACTTCTAGTGCAGTAGTCCGTAGGTAGCGACTAATGCTCGATAGTTGGCCAAACGTCCTATCACTCTCGAGTGACACAGAGAGAGGAGTGGCTCCCGGTAGCCCTTGGGCTTGTAGGAGCTAGAGGTACCGATGCTGCCTTTACCTCCTTTATAAAGAATACTATGGAAGCTGCGAACCTCTCAAAGTCGGTATATGTTGGGCGCACTGCTTTTGATTTAAAAGTAACCGAGACCAACGATGCTCCCCGGGATTCTACGGGACAAATACCGTCGAATCAACGTGTCTTACTTCGGGAAAACATTCTCTAGGCTCTTGCGGCTAGGGCTTCTTCTTTTGGACATTTCAATACATGGACTAGGTCTCGGCTCTTTACCAAAGCGTCGGTAACTAATTTTTTTTTTTTTTTTTTTCTCAGTGATTGTGAAATTTCTAGCTACAGATTCAAATAATAACTAGTGGATGGATTTGGCGGCTTATGGCAAAGATTGCAAGGACAAAGTACATTCCATACATGGTACGATAAGGTCCTATCCGGATTGCTGGCGGGGATTAGGTGTAGGGGCTGTAGGCCCCCACAACGTGGCTGCTTTTGTTAGGATATTGTGCAGTCGAAGACCAGGATAAATGGATTTGGCTCTCGGGCCCCCAAGATGACGGTTTAGATTCTCTGATTCGTTCTTACTGATCGCTTCACCAAAACGCATCCGTCTCAATTTGAAATCGCCAAGTGGGGTAGCCAGTATAAGTGTACTCCCCACTCCAACGTGGCTCACTCTGTGCACGGTCATAAAAATTGATTGGCTGATGATGCGGCTCGGATTATGGACTGTGAAGTTTCAAGCACAGCCTTAGATTTTCTGCCAGTCTGATTTCCTCTTAATCTGAAAAGGGTTGCCGTCTTAATATTGATGACAATGTGATCCCCACCTCCTCCCCTCCATGACTTCCATCTACATTGCGCATAGTGGGATTTAGATTCTCTCAACGTAGACTAAACCCCAGAATCCTTCTTCAACCCCTCATATTCCAAGCACTCTTCAAATCCAGTCTTGAAAATACAGCGGATCGCTCAGAAATGGCTTCGGGCAATACTCCAGCTACAACCGACTACACGATAGGGTGGATCTGTGCCCTTCAAGATGAATTGGTGGTGGCTGAAGCGATGCTGGATGAACGTTACCCATGCCCCCCGCAGCCACCCAGCGACGATAACATATACACCGTTGGCCGAATCGCATCGTATTATACTGTCATCGCATGTCTCCCTGCCGGTCTACATGGCACCACATCAGCAACAAGAGTGGCCGAACAAATGCAACGGACCTTCTCGGCTCTGAAATTTACTCTCGTGGTGGGAATCGGGGGAGGAGCTCCGAGTGATGACCATGATATCCGACTTGGAGATGTTGTGGTTAGCCAGCCTTCTGATGGGCGTGGTGGTGTCCTAAACTACCGGTTCGGAAAGATAATAGACGGCCAGGGATTCCAGTGCACAGGCTTTTTGAATAAACCACCCCAAATGTTACTGAATGCGGTGGCGTATCTCAAATCACAACACCGGCTACATGAATCCTCCTTGCCCTATCATCTGGCTAGTATGATACAGCAGCACCAGAAGCTCGGAGAGATCTTTGAGTACCAAGGCGAGGAGCTTGATCGGCTATTCGTTGCAGAATACTCCCATGCTAGCGGCAAGGGACATTGTGACGAATGTGACCTGACCAAGACAAAACACCGACCCTCACGTGGTAACCTCGACCCGGTTGTTCATTACGGCCTTATTGCTTCTGGAGACGTGGTCATAAAGGATGCTGTGGAGCGGGATACAATTCAACAGCGGTACGGGATTTTATGTTTCGAAATGGAAGCTGCTGGCTTGATGAATGGACTGGACTGCCTAGTCATTCGGGGAATCAGTGACTATTCGGATTCTCATAAAAATGATCGTTGGGGCCCCTATGCTGCGGCTGCAGCTGCTGCATATGCAAAAGAGTTGATAAGATCTCTCCCGGTACAGGAGCCAAAGACATGTGTTCGGCCCCAATCAAGGTGTATGTATGTCCACTACGTACCAATAAACCCCTACTAACAGTTCTAAATGATAATAACTTTCTCCAGGTGGTAACTCTCAGATGATTCCAGTAAAAAGCAAGCTCGAGGTATCCTTAGACCAACCTTCTCAGTTCGCAGATGGTTCCGTTTCCGCCTTTTCGAGCCCGGCGATAGTTGATAGGCGTAGAGCACTAATTACCGCAGATCGCGGGCTTGAAGCCGCCAAGGTATCAACCAGACTCAGAAGTTCAGGCACGCTTGATCGACCCATCTACTTAAATATATATCCCCGGAACAACCGTTTTTTTGGGCGACGTGATATCTTGCAGGCTATCTCTAAACAATTATTTCCCGCTATGGACGCTACACCGAGACTACAATCGTTCGCTTTGTATGGTCTTGCAGGAATTGGCAAATCCCAAATTGCGACGGAGTTCGTGTACAGGAGCAAGAAAATGTTCCGTGCTATCTTTTGGGTTTCGGCTAGTAGTACTGAGAAGCTGTTTCAGGGTTTCACTGATATTGCAAGGGAACTAAACCTCTCTGATGGGACAACGATAAAGAATCAGCGGGCGATTGTGAAACTTGTCAATCAATGGTTTATACGCACAGGTCAGTCATGTTGGATATCTTCCTAGTTGATCGTGTGGGTATGGTTCTGACGCTATTATTAGTCGAGCCTTGGCTACTCGTCCTGGACAATGCCGATGACCTATTAATCATTAACCAGTTCTGGCCTTCCTCGGATCGTGGTGCGGTGCTTGTGACAAGCCAGAATCCTGCGTCTGGGTCCCAACTAGATATGGGAATGGAAGTCAAACCCTTTTCCCCAGAAGAAAGCTCGATATATTTTCGTGAGCAGCTCGGTGGTGTCCGAGTTCAAGATGACGAAGCCAAGCAAATCACTGAGTCTTTTGGGCACCACACCCTCACCATTAAGCAAATGGCCTCCTATATACGGGAGTCAAAGTGTAGTATCTCACAATTCCGGGAAGCATATGCCGACTCTACGAAGCGGCGACAATTACTGGCGACACCCAATGAATTTTCTGCCCCTGGCTATTCGCACACCACCGCGACGGCATTTGCAGTTATATTTTCAAAACTCAGCATTGATTCCCTGTGGGCCCTGGGCATGCTCTCCTTTTTTGATCCCGACAGAATTCCAGAGACACTACTAGAAGATAAGCAAAATAGGATACCTTACTTGGCTGACATTATAAGCCGTCATGGGATTATGCGAGACTTGGGCCGCTACTCCCTTATAGACAAATTGGAGGACGAACCAAATCTACGACTTCATAGAATTGTTGCCTATACAATCGCAGAGGAGTTCGATTCAGATGTAGCCAGGGCCCAAGTTGCTTTCCAAAGTGCGGTGGCCATGCTCCACCAATATTTTCCTCTACAGAGCGAAGCACGTAGCCATATGAACGAAAAGTGGGGGGAATGTGAAAAATACGTACCGCATGTGCTAGCATTCAATGATCGCTATCGCAACTTATCAGAGCAAGTCACTTTAACACTCTCTTATGACTTTATTGAACTCCTTTACTGCTGTGCATGGTAAGTTGATGACTTTTACGACACTATCCCACCCTTTGCAGAAATTTACCTTGTTAATCCTGATATAGGTATCTCTTTGAGAGGGGTCGGTTCGATCTTAGCTTCTCCATTGTTGGCTCAGCAGAGTCCGCTTACAACCGGGCTGATCTCCAGGACCACGGCCTGCTGCTGGCTGACCTGTATAGCCTACAGGCTGACATACACAACGAACTAACCCAGGCGGATAAGGCAGTCGAATTTGCCAAGAGGTCATTAGAGATCAAGGAGAAAGCAGTTGCTGCCAAAGTGCTCGACAAACATCACCCTCAATTAGCTAACTCCTACATGGATATCGGTGTCTTTATCGCCGGCACGAATCCGCTCGGTGCCATCCGCTTGCATGAAAGGGCCATTGCGATTCGAGAAGGATCGCCCAAGTACGCAGATGATCAGATGCAACTACTATCTTTGAATTACATGAATATCGGTCGCTGCTGGTGGATGGTGGAGGAATTTGACAAAGCCACTGCCGCATACCAGAAGAGCCTTGACATTATCAAAAAGCTGGAAGAAGTGACGGGGGCACCTTTTGCACAGTATGTCTAAACCCAAATTTCCTCTGGAGCGCCAAGTAACATCTTCGACACAGGAAATCCTGGGCCATGTCAGCTCTTGCAAATGTTCTCATCGACAAGGGAAATTTTGACGCCGCGTTTGATCTCTACGCCCAAAGCATGATAGTGCATCAACTAGTACTTGGGATAACTCACCACAAGACCGCAGCCTGTTACAACAAAATTGCCTGGTTCCTACGAGAACAAGGCGAGTACGGAATGGCAATGTAAGTTTCACGACCCGAATGTTTGCGAGGCCTCTTTTTGACCCGTGTATACAGCGATTATCTTCGGCTGTCACTTAAGATACATACAAATAAACATGCCATAGACAGACGGCCCGAAATTGCGCGAACAAAATACCAGCTCGCAGAGGTCTTACGTGATGTCGGCCAGATTGAAGAAGGCAATCGACTCAAGGCTGAGGCTCAACAACTACGACTCCAGCTCGTAGGGAAGCTACCAGGGGAAGATGAGTCACAAAAGGCCTACGATGAACTAGTCGCATATTTTTATCGATGATAGCATATCGCTAAGTTGTTCTTTTGGAATCGAACATTCTATTACAGGCATCTGGCATTTCTCGGAATCTACAAGTTGACAATATTATCAGCCCTCGAGCCTTCAATGTTAAAATACTGTTTTGCAAAGAAAATCATAAGTATTGCGATTCCATCTCTTAATTAAAGGATAGGGAGTCCTAGGGGGCTTATAGAGGCCAAAGCCCCTAGCTTGCCCACTAGCTCACTGCCTAAATCCCAGATCAGCCTGGAGATTCAATACACTAGTAATCATATTTCAGGATAAATTCTCACCGATTGAATTCCTTTTGACGACGTCAGGCCCGCCATCACCACCTCAGCACCCAATCCTCACTCCACGTGTACTTCCCATTCATAAACTCTTTCAGTTTAGTAACGGCCAAGACACGCGATGTCTTATTATATGCCACAAACTCGTAAGGGAGTTTATGGTCGTTGAACGTAACCCCGCATGCCGATGAGCTTGTAATCTATCAAGGCAGTTTGTATCTTCATACGACCGATTGGAGACGGCATGTATGCTATTCCCCTCCACAGTGAGATGGATTAATAAAGTTGAATTAGGTTTAACGCTCTCTCCGTCGTCGATATATATCTGTCCCTTTGGATTCTCTATCCAATGCGACGAGGAGAGACCAAGGAGAATTACCGCGCGGCTCGTGTTGTTAGGGCTGGCTCTCGCATTGGGAGGACGCTTCCATCACGAACGTAAAGGGGGATGTGGCCGAGTGGGGCATCAATGGTGGAGTTTTTGACTGCTATTGCCTTGAACGGTGTGTGGGCATACCAATCATACCAGATCTCACCGTCCACAGCTGTAGCTTGAGGCTCCAGAACTGGGATTACCATAAGGGAAGGACCGAGGAGGAACTGACGGTCCGCTGATGCTAGACTTAGGTCATTAGGAAATTCCCAAGCCAAGGCTCTCATGACGGTTGAGCCCGTCGTGTGTGCTTGATGGAAGAGCGTATACATGTATGCGTACCAGATTGCCATTGCTGATTTGGTGGCCTTGATGACCGATGACCACACATAGGGCTCCTGCGATACGGTCGAGAGGACGTTGTGGTTGCGGTAGAATGGGAAGAAAGCTGAAAGTTGCATCTATCGGTTGCACAGCTCCTCGTCACTGTTGCCGTTGAACCCATACGTATCGACGCCAAACATCGGGATGCCGAAGAGGGAGAATGACAAGCCTTGAGGGATGGAAAAGAACATATAAGCCCACCGGGACTGGTTGTCGCCCCCCCAGTGGCCAGCCCATTTCCCGCTTCCCGAGAATGTAGATCGGCCGATAATAAAAGGTCGCCTGTTTGGAAAGACCTCCAAGAGACCATGATAAGTCGCGCTCAGAAGTTGATGTCCGAACAGGTTGTGGATATCATATTCGAGGGTTCCGTCGGCACTTGTGGCATTTGGTGATACTGCATGAACTGCTAGATCACCCTGAACATGATTTATAACGTACGGAGGCTGGTTAACGTTCCGAACTCCTAGAATGGGAGTGGTGCGAAAGTAATCTGGCCTCCTGGTTGTGGTGCTCCTGGGGTACCCACAGTTTTGGAAGCTTGTTCTAGGGAAGCAGAAGACGCGGACGCGGCTTCGGTTGCGTTGGTAATATTGAAGCCCTCGGGATAATCATAAATCACATTGCCACGTTCTCCCGGTAGTTGGAAAGGCGGATGGACTGGGTTGAGAGTAAGGTTTCCCGAACCACAGCTACCAACGCAGAAGGAAGAGACTTCATTCATATCAATCCAGATCCCGTCATATGGAACTTTATTGAAAAATTCTTTTAGCTCAGTTGACCACCATTCTCGGGAACCTGAAGCGGAAAAACCAGGGAACACGGTATATCCCGGCCATACCGCGCCAATGTAAACGCTGCCATCCGGGTTTCGGAGAAATATATCTGAAGCGTTTCCTCTCTCGAATGTTTTGTACCTATTCAACGATCAATGGAGGGAAAAACGTAATTTTGGGATATTCTCGGCATACGCATCGGCGGGGGTTTCAGGGTTAGGGATGTAGATGCTGCATCCACCATCGGAATCCAGTGCAAGTCTTTTTGGTGAAGGGTGGAGACGAATTTCTGCCCTTCTGGGATGGGATAATTGTTAGGGTCAAACTCGAAATCGCGATAGCCTTTCATAAAATGGATATCAGACCTATACTTTAGGATTAGCCCTGCTTTTATCCACTGGAGCCGAACAGACGATTTTCTCACCAAATGGTTTCGAGCGGAATTTCAACTTCTCAAAGTTGGACACCACGTCTTCTAGCTCCGTCCAACTTTTGTAGCCCCAACGGTACTGATGAAATCCGAAAGTATAATATTGCTGTAATGGTGGGAGCCCAATCATACTGAATTGAAAACTTCTTGTCACTTCAGGTTGAGATGGGCCCGAATAGAAGTACAGATCAATACTGCCACCCAAAGTTCGCTAGGTGAGGCTGTCAGGTTGAAGGAGAATTTCATGCCCATGAGCATTTTGTAAGAATACCCCGTGAGAGTTGCGATACGTACGTCCGTGAAGGATCATGCTCATTGTCCGTAGCAGGGATTAGCTTATCATCCTTTGGAACTTCGAAATATCGAGTGTCGAGATAGAAAGGATGGGAGCCGTAAAGATTGCTATACATATAATAAATGTCGAATCGTGCATGTATAGGTAGATAATGGTAACATACGTATCGATCGGGTCCCCTACATCCGCTGCATAGATGGTAGCTGTGAAATTGTTTCCAAGCCGCAACCTATGGATGCGTTCCCCTAGCCCATAAAGGTTATAATCAGGAGGCAGCCAACTGACAAACTCGACTAATTGATTCTCAAACACCAACACCGTTCCCGTGGTTTCAAAAAGCACGTCCCCTGTGCTCCTGAGGGTCACTTTGAATGAAAAACTGGGTTCGTTCGACCAGCTGAAGTTGAGATCTATCTCGCCGCTATGAGCATACGACGGTTCGCTGGGCTTTGGCCTTGGAACCACATGATCGGGGAGGATATAATGTAATTGATTGGAGCGGGATATATGGGCCGGTACGATATTGACGTTTAGCCTGTCTTTGGATTGATACTCGACCGTAAGATTCAACTTGTTCACATCTGTCCCATAGACATTTCATGGCTTTCTAGAGAGAGATAAGGAGGCCGTGAAACCATGCGTTGTTTCGGTGACATCGGACGCAAGATATCCTGGACACACATGCTGCGCATTCATTGATTTGGGATCTTTGATATTTGGAAGTAATAAGGCCCCTCGATCCGCGTTGTCTGGCATAGTGAATACAGGCTTCTCACTAGCTAGTGTGCTAGAGGGCGCCGCGTATATCAGGGGTGGATAATATCCATTGACTGGAAGTGATACCAACAGGATGTTGGTCCGCCAGTTCGCGATTCTAGAGTACGCCATGGTGAGCCATGAAATTGGAAATTTAGCTACTCTCAGGACACGTATAAATGTCGGTGAATCGTGTTGGAAAGGATGGTGCCGGTTGGTAGCATGGTAAATGGTCATGTTACAAAGTGGAATGTTGGTCCTCTTTATAGGGGCTTAGACAAGATAGGATTTCTTCCTCTACTAGTGCACACCACCAGCTGAAGTATTCAAAGCCGAGAGCAAAAGTTTGCTGTCCGTGTCCAGATGCCTTCGCGGACTCGGGACTGGGTGGTGGGCATTCACGCACTTTGACGAGTGACGTTTGCATGCGCTTAATGAACGGGAAAATGCATTGGTACGTAGGACGACAGTAGTACCCAACTGACAACAATCGGGTAGTCCAAGAATTAATGGACGATCCAAGATACAACGATATTTAGCTTAATCGCAGAAATCAAGCGACGATAGACCCCGTCCGTAGGGCTAGCAAACAAATCTGCGCGCGGATTTGACCACGGTCGGGGAAATACCGGGTTAAGGTAGGTATCGCGGTTGTCGGTAGAAATTAAAAGAAGACCACCGTGCACATTGCCCGAAGCTAACGGACATAACTCATTATCTTGAATATGAATAGGATATTCGTTTCAAGGTTACCTTTGTTCCTTGTTAAAAGGGATAGGGCTCTGTCCGTCACGTGGACCGACTCTTCACCGCCTGGGCAGCTTTTGTCTCAAAGAGCCGGCAAAATAAATATCTTGGCTGGTAACAAAACACTGGCTCCGACTCGCAGTTCTCCTCCGATTTCCTCCCCAAAACAAGAGGGGGCGTCGCAAGTATGCCTCCCAAGGCTGTCAAGGGAGAATACATAGAAACTGTAATTTACACTATCACACACTTTCCATTACTAAGCTTCACCCCGTCTAACTTTCTGCCTGCAGGACACTGGAAACAAGGTCTCCCGCCGATCCCAAGTACACGGAACCCAACACATCATTCTCGGCGGCAAGACAGTCATCCAAGCCGACGTGTGCATCCGCGGTGACCTATTCAGGCAGCAATCTGATCACCAAGTATCCACATCCTCCAACCCAGCGCCAGCTAGCCCTGCCGTCGCTGTCTCAATAGGTCGCTACACATACCTCTCACGCTCCTGCCTCCTCCGCCCGCCCTCGCGTCTACATCGTGGTGTGCATTCATTCTACCCGTTGAAAATTGGCGACCATGTTTTTGTTGGGGAGAAGGCAGTCGTGGAGGCGGCCACAGTTGGCAACCATGTGCATATTGGAAAAGAAGCGGTGATAGGGTCTATGGCTATCCTGAAGGATTATGTCGTTGTGTTAGACGGCGCGGTGGTGCCACCGGGGATGGTGGTGCCGAGTTGGTGCGTTGTGGGAGGCAGGCCGGCTAGGGTTGTTGGGGAAATCGGGGAAGGCTATGGAATTGAGGGGGGTGAAGGTGGACTGGCGAGAGAGAGATATAGGAATGTTGGAAAATAAAAGGTTATGTATTCAATTTTATCTCTGTTCTTTTCATGGGTTGTACGGCGTTGGGTGACTCCGGGGTTTGATTTTGAGATACTGGTCACAGTATATTATGATTGGGGTTTTAAGGGATATGGTCCAGAGGCAGACCTGCTGGTAACTCACCTGTATTTTAGTACCGAAACAACGGAAATTTCGATCGACTGACATTGGATTGATATAATGTAGCTTACTGGATGTGTTTCACGCATGGTTGAAAAATCTTCCATATGCTCTGTTAAGCGTCCATGGTCTAATTATCAGTGAAAATGAATATTACAAAACCATATATTGGGTGGAAAATATCATACGGGAACCCCATACAAAGAAATGAAAGTAACAAAGGGGATATCATAAGGAAAATAATTTCGGGGTGAACAAGGAAAACACAAAATAAATGCATACGGTGGAAATATCATGTGACGAGGATCGCAAATAGAAAAACGAAAATGAACAGTAAGAAAAGACAAAAGTGGTCAATGCTGCGTTGACTCATGACAGAAGGAAGGTAGAGAAGTAGACGGAGAAAAAGGTTCGGGCCGAGCACTGGTAGAGAAATAATGCCCTAGGCATACTGAAAAGTATCAGGTGTACAGCGGCGGGTGCACGAGGTAGATGTTCAAGGAGTTGGTATGAGGCCGTGGACATTAGCTGATGGAGTTTATTTAATTTGCTTTTGTGGTTGAGACTTAACGTTGTTGGAGAGCCAGCCCTAGTTATTAATGTTAGTTCTGTACATTTAGCTACCAAATTGGGGGCGCGGGGACAAAATAATGCGTACCAAGCCTTCGAACAGTCCTTCGCCTGTGGTCGCACAACTTGGGACAACAAACCACACTTTGTCCTTCAGCTGGGTCAATTGGAGCTTGTCAGTGACTTCCTGGGGTGTCATAGCTGTGATAAGAAAGTTGTGATCAGCATCAGGAATAAAGTGAAACAGCAGTATTTTGTTAACCAAATATAGGCTAGACTTACCTCCTGGAATATCTTGCTTATTTGCGAAAACTAGTAGCAAAGCCTCTTTCATCTCTCGATCCAAGATGATCCGATGAAGTTCCTGGCGTGCTTCGTCGATGCGGGCACGATCGTTCGAGTCAATAACGAAAATGAGACCCTGGGTGCCTACAATTCCGCGATCGCAAAGTTAGTTGACGGCCATTCCTAGCTAGAATGGCAACATCAGATATACCAGAAAAGTAATGTCGCCAAAGAGGGCGAATCTTGTCCTGTCCACCAACATCCCAGACGTTGAACTTGACATTCTTATAGGTAACAGACTCGACGTTGAATCCGACGGTAGGGATGGTTGTAACGTCTTGGTTAAGTTTTAATTTATAGAGGATTGCTTGTAACGCAAGGCCAATTAGCTCCGTAAAACTTAGGGATTAGGGGAAGGCTTTACGGCCGGAGATATAGCATTACTCACTCGTCTTCCCCGCAGCGTCAAGGCCAAGCATGAGAAGGCGCATTTCTTTAGACCCGAAGATCTTTCCCATGATCTTGGAGACTTGGACACCCATTATGAATGTCGTTCGCTAGCGTCGCTGGAGCTATTGGAGTGGTGCGGATAAATTCAGGGGGAGGAATCAAAACACGGCTTCGGAGGAGTACGCAGCGTAAGAATGGCGTGTCAGGCAATAAAGCAAAGTCCAATCGGTTGATATCTATTTCTAGGCCCTGATATGGTGGAGCAGATGAGGAGAAAAATGGGGGTTCGATAATTGAAAACTAAGGGAGTGTCAGGCCCTGCGAGGTAAATGAATAAGAAACACGCTGAAACACAAGTTAGTAATTCCACTCGACCAACCATTCGGCTGGCGCAGCTCAGCCGAGATTGAGGGACAACACAGCACTCACGCAGGGAAAGGAAATATTAGGATTGTATTTCCTGTGGAACAGGCAATGAGAAAGTCGCCTGCAGCCGGCAGTATTACTATTTAGATATTTTGTGCTAGGTGGTTCGTTCTTTTCACGTAAATGAGTCCCATCTGCGGTTTAACTCACGTGAGGACATGGGGAAAAATGGAGCTAGACCCAAAGCAGAAAGATCACAAAGGACCGGCACGAACAATGACTAAGCAAGTTCAATCCACGAACTTTAAATGAGCACTAACTGTTGGGGGTCCCGCGGTTGGTCGGCCCTTCTACCAGCAGGCGCTGGTGGTGATTGAGCTCTTTTGCCCCAGTAGCCTACACTAACTGTGCCAAGCGCAACTCACTACAATAGTTTTTTTTTTTTTTTCCCCTTTCATTAACTAACTAGTTACAAGCATCAAATGCTCGCTTACGCTCGCTTTGCTGCTTTGCGCAGCCCCCCCTCTACTTCCACTCTCTACCCCTACCCCCCTCTTACCACCCCTTCCACCCCTTCCACTCCCTACCCCCTATACCACCACCACCGCCTCTACCGCCCCGCAGCTCCCCCTACCACTTTCACCCCCTACCTCTACCCCCTTCTTACCACCCCTACCACCCCTATCACCCTCTACCTTCTCTACCACCATCACCGCCTCTACCGCCCCGCAACTAGACTGACCGTGTGACCGTGTCTGGGACCAGGACCAGAATTTTTGATAGTCTCATTGTCAATTCGACAGATCCCATTACACGGTTCTAACATTAGATAGTAGTCTCATATTGTCTCAGTGAGACTTACTGTCTACTCTTGTCACATTTTTCAAATGAGATCATGATTTTCACTTCTCAATTTAAATTATTTTTATTACTTTAAATGACTTTAAATCTCATTTAAGTGTTATCAAAAAGTGTTACTTTTTAAAAAATTAAAAATAGTCTAAAAAAAACCTTAAAATGTTTAAAAATAATAACTTTATATCAAGAATGAAACTAAATGAGATCAAATGAAATCACTTTCTTATTTTTTTCAAGTCATGATTTCATTTTGAGATCTGATATATAGTCACTTTGCATGTTTATTTAATAATTAGTCTCAGCAGAATTCATATCAAGAAATGTATGAGATCAGATTAAATAAGATTAAATATGAAATTTATAATCTCAGTAGTCAGTTTACTTATAACACTCTCTATTACTTTTACTCTCTATCTTTACTCACTTTTATTATTTCTTTCATCTCTTTCACTCTCTTTATTACAGAGTATTTAGCAGTATATACTATAAACACAGAGATCAAAATGTGATAGAGATAGTAAGAGAGAAGTAGAGATAGTAAAAGTAATAGAAGAGACTGTAGAGTAGTAGATTATTATTATTATTATTATTATTATTCTTTAATTATAGATGTATACAGTCAGAGACTATAATATCTACCTGAGAACTTTTAGTTCTCAGAGTTTTTTCTATATCTGTAAAGTTAACTATTATACATTCATCAATTTCAGATATGCAAAATCAGAAAATTTCAGCTCAGAATATAAAAACTGTTTATAAATTGCAGTATTTTAACATCTTCTGATACTTTGAAATCATTTGACAATATCATGACAAAGAAAAAGAGAAGACAGTCTTAAAGATAGACATATTAAATAGATAGATAGAAAGAAATTGAAAGAAAAAGATAAAGTAAAGAGAGACTGTAACAAAACAAATTATTAAAAGATAGTATATAGCTGTTTTAACAGATTATATCTGATTGATTTTCTCCTCTTCATATTTAGATAATTCTGAATTTAGTCATTTTCTTGTAGCTGCTTAAGTTTCTGATAGAAAGTCTATTAAGTATTTAATTCCTGTCTCAGTTGAGAATAAGAATCTTATATTTAATTAATTTAGATTATACTTCTCTTTCAATCTGACTCTGAGACTATTGTATATTGCACAGTGTATTATAATATACTCAGAATTCTCATTTGCATTGCAGAATGAGCATTCTATTGAGTCAAATCTATCATCAAATCTTTGTATATAAGATTTGAAATAGTCATATTCTAGTTTCAGCTGTATTATAGATAGACTGACCGTGTGACCGTGTCTGGGACCAGGACCAGAATTTTTGATAGTTTCATTGTCAATTTGACAGATTCCATTACACGGTTCTAACATTAGATAGTAGTCTCATACTGTCTCAGTGGGACTTACTGTCTACTCTTATCACATTTTTCAAATGAGACCATGATTTCCACTTCTCAATTTAAATTATTTTTATTGCTTTAAATGGCTTTAAATCTCATTTGAGTATTATCAAAAAGCATTACTTTTTAAAAAATTAAAAATAGTCTAAAAAAAACCTTAAAATGTCTAAAAATAGTAACTTTATGTCAAGAATGGAACTAAATGGGACCAAATGAGATCACTTTCTCATTTTTTTCAAGTCATGATTTCATTTTGAGATCTGATATATAGTCACTTTGCATGTTTATTTAATGATTAGTCCCAGCGGATTCATGCCAAGAAATGTATGAGATCAGACCAAATGAAACCAAACGTGAAATTCATAGTTCTGACGGCCAGTCTAATTATAGATGAGAATATTTTCTTTTTACATTTAATTAAATAAGATTTTCACTTGAGTTTTGTTTTAAATCTTGAATAATGTATACTCTTCTTTTATTTCTGTCAGCTTTCATTTCACTTATCTAAATAAGATTCTTTTATTTTTCTCTTTATAAAAGATCAGAATATAATTTTTTGCATAGATCTGCTTAATTCTGCACTCTTTTTTACAGCTGAATCAGTCAATTCATTGTCATGAATATTCATATAAGCAGGAACTTAGTATAGATGAATTATCAGCTTTGATATTCTTCTCTTTTGAATTTTCAAAACAGAGTTTAAGATCAGTTCAAGATTCATTTAATTATTATAAATCTGACTATTTCTAAGTCATTTTAAAGCAGCTTGATTATCAGAGAATATTCATGTCTCTTTCAAACTATTTTCTCTTTTATAAGATTTTATTTCAATGAGTTTGAAAGCTTTCACTATTTTAAATAGTTCAGTATCAAAGACTTCAGATTCACAGTCTAGATTTCAGAAATCTTGTGATTTGAAAGAATATACAACTGTTGAATAATAACGTGGCCGCTTCTGAACTTGCTTACAAGTGTAAAGAAGTCATAGCGGCCGCTAATTAATTTAGCATACAATATTCAATATATAAGAAGTCAGTGTATGCCTGTAATCATATACTGACTTAAGCAACCTTTGAATCACATCTAGACTGGCCGCTAAGACTATGAATTTCACGTTTGATCTCATTTAATCTGATCTCATACATTTCTTAGCATGAATCCTGCTGAGACTGGCTATTAAAAAAACATGTAAAGTGACTATATATCAGATCTTAAAATGAAACCATGACTTGAAAAAAATGAGAAAGTGATCTCATTTGATCTCATTTAGTTTCATTCTTGACATAAAGTTACTATTTTTAGACATTTTAAGGTTTTTTTTAGACTATTTTTAATTTTTTAAAAAGTAATGCTTTTTGATAACACTCAAATGAGATTTAAAGTCATTTAAAGCTATAAAAATAATTTAAATTGAGAAGTGAAAATCATGGTCTCATTTGAAAAATGTGACAAGAGTAGACAGTAAGTCTCACTGAAACAGTATAAGACTACTATCTAATGTTAAAACTGTGTAATGAGATCAGTTGAATTGATAATGAGACTATCAAAAAATCTGGTTCTGATCTCAGACACGGTTACACGGTCAGTCTAATTACATCTAATAGTATGTCTAAAAACTAGTGAGAAGTGTAGACTTCTTCAGAGCATGATAATTCTGTCTATGAAGTGATTCATAGTTATC